ATGATCGCTGTATGCATTGATGACTACAACACCACAGTCACTGATCACTGATCCAGCTTTATACTCTAGAGACCCATGAGGAGTCTTGCACATTCTTCAACACCAGCACCCAAGACCAAACCCCCAACGCATGTGACATCATAGACGTGTGAATAACAGGCTCCTCCCACACCCTCAAGTTATCCTATGAAGAATGTAGCTAAGGAATATTTTACACATAAATCGTTACAATTAGTTTTGTAACAAGTCTCTTCAAACAATTGAAGAAGCAGGAAGATGATTCCCATTCCCAAATGGAAAAAATATACATAATAATAAAGATGCTTAAGCTTGGGTGTCCCACTTAACCTGTATTCACTCTAAATATTAGCATGCAGAGGGTATAACAAATCAGTACATGTCTTTTAAAATCGGGCCTTTTTGAGATGTAAAAAATGAATCAGGTAAAATCATGTCAGATCTTTTTCCACTTTTAATGTAATATTCAAGGAACAAATAAACAGAAGTTTTAAGGAAAGAAAAAACAACTAGTACCTGGTTGCATAAGTGTTCATACCCTTTTATGACGGGGGAAGGCACTCCGGAATTAACCGATTACATCCAAACTCTTACTAAAGTTTTTTATTATTTTATTATTATACTACGGCACTGTTGAATGCTTGAATACGATTGGTTGACGAACGTTCTAAGGTGTGCAGTTATTTTCAGGGAAACGCACGGCTAAAGTAGTTCCAGGTCTTGCATTACAGTTCCATTTACATTTATTCAATTAGCAGACGCTTTTATCCGAAGTGACTTAGATATTAGGTATTTCAAAGGTCCTTAAAGCCGACAACAGCAAAAGAACCAAAACCCACAAAACCACTGACTGAGCAAATGCATATAGTAAACAATAGGATAAAAACGTCAAATTAATTCCATGTTTTTTGCCACAAAATTACGTTTTATTATGTACGGACATATTTATTATGCTCTCTCCCACTCAAACGCACACACATTTAGTACGGACACACACTCGCACAGAAACGTGTTGTCAGCGCTTCTGATGATTTTAGTCAGTAAAATAGTTTAACAACTTAAAAGCTACATGACATTTCTCACTAGCATGGTAATAACGTTGCTTTTCTTGAAGCAGGTAAACTTACAGTTTTGCTATCAGTAGAGAAGCTGCCGCCGAACACTGTTGAGAGACACAGACTCAGGTAATTTACACACGCTTAATCTCTATAACTACATTAATAACTACATTAGTCTGCTATCAGTGGCTCAAGCCTTCGTTACTAGCTCTAAAATTATGTTTTGGAATTAGCAACGGACGCTTGGGATGAGATGCGTAAGAAATAAGTCCCACACACAAGAGCGTTTTAAAGACAAAAACCTGACAAATGTCTTGAAATACATCATACACCCCAAGTTCAAAATCAGCAGTTTCGGTTTCTTTCTCGAGTCAAGACAGAAGGAATCACTAATGGTGACAAATACAAGATCATTCTGGCACAAAACCTGCAGGCCTCCATTAAAAATCTGAAGAGGAATTTAATCTTTCAGCGTGATAGTAACCTCAAATCTAAGTCATTCGTTTCGGAAAGAAAGTCAGAGCCCAGAACTAAATCCAATGAAAAAAACTAGAAGAGGGCTGTAGTCAAGAGATCCCTCACAATGTGATCATCCTGGAGATGATTAGCAAGGAAGAGTGCGGAAAAACACGCAAATCCAGATGTGCGAAGATAATAAGACTCTTATGCAAAAAGAATGACTGCTGTATTAAAAGCAAACGTTGTTTCAACAGAGTATTAGTTCACTTTGAAATTAATTGTTGGTATGTTTTAGCTTACCTCAAGGGCATCCAAGATGTAGGTGTCTTTGTTTCCACAGTAGTTTCAATTTTGATATTTTTTGGTCAAACCGTTCTTGTCTGTCAGTCATATAATGCAGGTCTATGGTCACCACCTCAAAGAGCATGCACAGAGAAGTCCAAATTAATAAGTCCGACTTAATGACTTGAAACGAACACTATTTATATCGTTTTTACCTCTTGTAAACACAGCCACGTCCAAGTGATCTGAGGGCGCCGGCGCTTCGGTATTTTCCGGCAAGTGCCGGAAGTGATCTCTCGCGCGTGTACGTCACTCATTGTTTACACAGAACAGAGATTGTAGGTAAGACGGCTAATTAAAATGGTACTAATTTGCGCTTATCCGGGATGTTTAAACCGTCGTAAAAAAAAAAAAAAAAAAAAAAAAAAAAAAATTGTATGAGTGACGTACAGGCGCGAGAGATCACTTCCAGCGCTTGCCGGAAAAGACCGAAGCGCCGGCGCCCTCAGTTTACAAGAGGTAAAACGATATAAATACTGTTCGTTTTCTCACACAAACCGCTCGTTTCGTGTCTTAGGCCATCAATGTGTACTTACATTTACGAGTCATTAAATCATGTTTAATTTGGACTTCTCTGTGCATGCTCTTTGAGGTGGTGACCATAGACCTGCATTATATGACTGACAGACAAGAACAGTTTGACCTAAAAATATCAAAATTGAAACTACTGCGGAAACAAAGACACCTACATCTTGGATGCCCTTGAGGTAAGCTAAAACATACCAAAAATTAATTCCAAAGTGAACTATCCCTTTAATGGACACACGCTGCAACTAACCCAATATTTTTCTTTGGTTTTCCCTTAAAATATTGTATTTGTTTGTTACTTGAATTTTGTTGGTTTAAAAGTTTATGAATAGGCACAACAGATATTCCTTAATTCCATAAGGATTTGTAAATGTCTTTTTGCATCCTTTCTCTGCAGTTCTTCATCTTGTGATCATGTATGGATCCTGTGAGAATAAAAGTCCATTCATTTTCTATGAACGAGGACAAGAAAGAAGGAGATCTTCCTGGAGCATCGTGGCTGAGGATCATGCTTGTTGGGTCATATCTGTTAATATAACCCAGAGCTGCAATGATGGAGTCACAAGATGAGAGTATACGCACAGCCCGGTCAATGATGCTCTTTCACTATTGTGCTCTTTCCTCGTGTCTTTACCTTCTTCTTAACATTCGTGTTATAGTGTAACAATCTTTGTATTGTTATTCTTAGAGGCGTCTTTTCAAAGGAATCTTAATCGAGTTATTACAATTTTTGATTACATTTCTACTGCAAAGTTATTACATTTAACTGCTACTAAGAGACATCATTGATTATTTCTACTATTACTCTATTTTTAGATGTGATAAGTTTTAGATGTCTCACTAATTAAAACAATAGATTCAACTCGCCAGCTTCTTAGTGTGTTGAATAGGGAGACATCTAAATTATTCTAAGAGGGTCCCGACGACTGGAGTTGAGAAACACTGCTATTCCTCTGGTGTTCTTCGCATGACGGTGGCCAAACATTATCCGTTTTTTAATTTCAATTAAATTAATGTACTATATTTTAGTTTGATAATGTTTTTTATTTAATATTTTGTATTTTTAGGGGATTTTATGGTACCACATTATATTTACGCAGTAGTTATAATCCATTTATTCACATTATTAGCAGACCTGAAAATTTCATTTCCAACTTAAACTGTCGTAAATCTTGAATACTTTAGAGCGCAGACTTAAGTTTGCTCTCTTTTTAAAGATAACATTGGCAAATTATTGCTGAAGTGAAAAAAAAAAGTTTAAAAAAGTGAAATTAAGTTACAGAATTTTACATTTATTGTTGTGAAAAATGCACAAAAAAAACTATTTAATATTTTTATATGAAATATCTATTTTCAAAAACACGTTTTACTGTAAAACTGCAAGAAAATCAAAGCCATAAATCTAAACAAGTTGTGTTCCAAATCGGAGTTTGATATCTCAAAAAAAATTAGCTTTCCGTAAGATTTTGTTTGGCCAAAAGTTTCCACTACATTAAATTCGTCTCCTATTCATTTTTGACCGCGAGGAACACAAGTGTGACTTTTTTCAGGAACATTTAACCTTTTCGAATCATGTCCATGATTTTTTTTTTTTTCACATAGCAAGTGACAAAACCTTAACCAAGTTTCGTACCACTCCGATTAAAGTAAAAAATAAAACAACGTAAACATTTTCGGCCAAAAATTAGCGAAGAGCACCAGAGGGCTACACAGTTACTGACGTTGGTTACAACATAATTTGAGCTCCTTACGCCAAAGTGCCAACCCAACGGTAGCTTTAGCCCCAGATGGTTTCACTGTCTTTATGCTAACATTAAAAAAGTACTTTTGAATTTGTTTTGTAATGAGACGAATTCATGAGATAAAAGTATACATTTAGTGTATAGATGGCAGAGCATTCTGCACAAGTTTTTTGTCCAGGCTCTTGTCATTTCTAGGCTGGACTATTGCAATGCTCTTCCGGCTGGACTATGTCGCTTGAAAAGTGGACAAATGCTAAGCTGAAATGAAATGACCTTATTTCTTTTAGTTGGAGTGGATGTGAAATCAATTTATAGACAACATATCGAAGCCCTGTCATTTAACTGTCCAAACATACAAATATACACCGTCTTAAATATAACAAGGCTGATCATTTCATACAGAAACTTTTATTAACATACAAAGGTTGTTACCTTATAATAGCATTATTTCTTTTTGTATAAGGATAAGTCATGTGACAATTATGAACACTGTTTACCAAAGCCTATAGAAATGTGCGACGCTGCGTTTAAAGGCGTACATTTTCAATTACATCAAGTAACATCAATGACATTCAAATGACACCAATTTTTTTTTTTTTTTTTTTTTGCAGACACTAAATATTAGAAATTAAACCAAAAAGTGAGAATGCCGGTGTATCAAGTTCAAATATCGCTAAACCAAAAAGCATGTAAAATGTGAAACACAGCTTTGGAAATGACAATCAGAGGAAAAGATTTCTCAAAATAGTAAAACACCACAAATATGGTCAACATTTTTTTTTTTTAGATAACTACACAATTTCAGGAAAAAGGGAAGATTGAGGACTTGGTAGTAGTTAACATTTAAAATGAAAGAGAGAGAGAGAAAAGCAAATTATGATAGTACTGCGCTGTTAATAAGGCTAGTTATCCTCGTCCTCTTCATCACTCAACACTCTCTTGTATCTGCGTTTCGCTGGGGCCGCAGGACTCTCGCGGTCTGAATCCAGGCTTCTGTCAAACTTACTCCTGGATAAATGATCCACATCTGAAATATCTGAGAGAGACAAAAGATAGTAAGGGAGGAATTCACTGTGCTTTTCCTGTGGGATAAATAATATCCATCAACTGATTTTGCTCAAATTCAAGACCAAAAAAGATTCTTATTGCAATCTGACTAGCCAACAAAAATGCAACATGAAATGGCGTATTGATCAACGCAACATGGCGCTAAAACTCAAACCTACTTTCCTCAAGCTCTATTTGCAACATTGGCCATGACTGCGTCCACATTCTCCTCTTTCACTTCCTTTTCCCAGCGCACATTTAAAACCACAATTGCCAAAATGCGATTCATTTTGCTCTTTTTGTTTACCACTAACGCATGCTGATGATGTTTCATTCTTCTATTCGAACTTATGTCGTAGCCTACGATTCAATGTGTTATCATAGTCCACATACACAAGTTTATTAGATCCGTGTCGTACAGTGTGATTTGTAATGATCTTCTAGGATTGCCGAAACTCACACAAGTCTGTAGCAGACGTTAAGCATAAACTGATCAATACAGCTAGATTTTTCACCCAGCATGTATTAAACACATTAACCTGCGTTCCATGGGCTTTTTGAAGTGCGCATGTGTGATATGTGACAGGAAAGCGTCCTGAAGGCCTGTTCACACCGGGACCGATGTTTAACGCCTCGTGACTAAACAAAGGGCGCCAATGTGAGTGTGCACACCGACACGAAAAACGCCACGCGTAAAAGCGTCATTTTTTAAAAAACGCCTCGGGTTCGTTTTTTTAGTGTGACGCGCCGCGGCAAAAACTATCCGACCAATGAGATTGGTGCTTTTGCTCACGTGTCTGGAGCTTCTGAAGTTACAGTAAAACACAACTTGGGGGCGCTCGGACACAAAACGGTCTTGCCGAGCACACACACGTAACGGCGAAGAAGATGCGCCAAGTAGCGTCTACTCTACAGTACACCATAGATATCCATAATAAAGGCTAGATGTCTCGTCCGCGCTGCTGGCCAAATATGGCCTTTATTATGGATATCTATGGTCTACACTGCCGGGAAGAAATAAGACGAGGAAGATGCGAGGCCAGATGAATGTAGAGCTGCTGGTCTCGTTGCTGTCGGAACATAAAGAACTATATGACAAACGCGACAGCGACTACAAAAGAGGACTATTTCTGTTTTACATTAAGCGCCATCTAATGTCAGGGAATGAATTTGCATGTTCACTCGGCTCATCGTCAGCGAAAATCGCTTGGGTGTGAACACAAAAAACGCGTTGAAAAACGCTGACGAATAACACGCGCCGATATTCGTCCCGGTGTGTACGAGGCTTTACTGTGGATTTAAGCACATCCTGAAGGCCTGTTCACACCGCGCGCGATATTCGCCGACGTTTAACGCCTCGTGACTTAACAAAGGGCGCCAATGTGAGTGTGCACACCGACACGGAAAACGCCACGCGTAAAAGCGTCATTTTTTTAAAAACGCTTTGGGTTCGTTTTTTTAGTGTGACGCGCCGCGGCAAAAACCATCCGACCAATGAGATTGGTGCTGTTGCTCACGTGTCTGGAGCTTCTGAAGTTACAGTAAAACACAACTTGGGGGCGCTCGGGCACAAAACGGTCTCGCCGAGCACACATACGTAACGGCGAAGATGATATACGCCAAGTAGCGTCTACACTGCCGGGAGGAAATGAGACGAGGAAGATGCGAGGCCAGATGAATGTAGAGCCGCTGGTCTCGTTGCTGTCGGAACATAAAGAACTATATGACAAACACGACAGCGACTATAAAAATCTTGATAAAAGAGAACTGTTATGGAGTGGTATTGCAGAGCAAATGGGCGCCATCTAATGTCAGGGAATGAATTTGCATGTTCACTCGGCTCATTGTCGGCGGAAATCGCTTGGGTGTGAACACAAAAAACGCGTTGAAAAACGCTGGCGAATAACTCGCGCCAATATTCGTCCCGGTGTGTACGAGCCTTTTATGTGTATGTAGAGCAGGAGGAAATATACAGCTTTTCTTGACCCAAGAAATGATAAAAATGTGTTCTCTTCTCATGCAGCCCAAGTGGAAGAGGTCCAATCAGAAATCTGTAACTGCCTGAGTCTGAGTGCTGACATTTTGGAATATAACTCATTGGTTTTAATGCTTTAACATGACAACAGGCGTAACAAATGGGACACTCTTGAGTAAGAGACACCAATGGTTAGGTTTTGACATCACTATTGGGAAATAGTGTTGTCAAAAATATCGATATTTCGATAAATATCGATACTGAAATATCTGAACGGTACCAATACTAATTTCCCGAAGTATCGATACTAGCCGAGCAGTCACTTTCAGTTCTCTCAAAAGGCGCGTTGACAAACACCACACGTGACGCACTCGTCTCATTCGCTCTGGTTAAATAGCAAAAGTGAAGTGAATGGAAAGATGGCGCCCCCGCGACCGGCTTTGGTTGATTCCGCGAGCGGGCATGTCGGAGAATAGCGCGGACACGCGTAAAAAACACACCGCGAGCGGGCATGTAGGAGAATAGCGCGGACACGAGCTACACACCGCGAGCGGGCATGTCGGAGAATAGCGCGGACACGAGCTACACACCGCGAGCGGGCATGTCGGAGAATAGCGCGGACACGAGCTACACACCGCGAGCGGGCATGTCGGAGAATAGCGCGGACACGAGCTACACACCGCGAGCGGGCATGTCGGAGAATAGCGCGGACACGAGCTACACACCACCGCGCGAGCGGGCATGTCGGAGAATAGCGCGGACACGAGCTACACACCGCGAGCGGGCATGTCGGAGAAAAGCGCGGACACGAGCTACACACCGCGCGAGCGGGCATGTCGGAGAATAGCGCGGACACGAGCTACACACCGCGAGCGGGCATGTCGGAGAATAGCGCGGACACGAGCTACACACCGCGCGAGCGGGCATGTCGGAGAATAGCGCGGGCACGAGCTACACACCGCGCGAGCGGGCATGTCGGAGAATAGCGCGGACACGAGCTACACACCGCGCGAGCGGGCATGTCGGAGAATAGCGCGTAGGCCTACACGCGAGCGGGCTGCGGGCACCCAACAGATTGTTTGACTATCAATAATCCCTCACATCACTAATTTTTTTTAAATTATTGTATTGGTGAAAACAGACTTAAGGAACAGGCTCCAGGGGTAGGCTACTATTTAGCAGCAAATGCTCAGCATCAGGGGTGTTTGTTGTTTGGACAGACCTGCCCCCACTGCTAAAAAACCCCACTGTAACTCTTCTCATTTGAACTTTTCTGAAACATTAACCAAGATGGCCTAGTATTGTTGTTGATAAGAGTCTGTGTTGTCTCGTTTTAATTCTTAAAGTTAACATAATCTGACTGAGGAATCTTAGACAAGTAAATATTGTAACTGTGGTCAAATGTAAATTAACTGGTGCCTATTTAACTTTATTCAAAAAATATGATTTAATTCTGCAATTTTCCTTCATTAGCGATTATCATCAATTTGATTACACATATATTAATTAAACTAAACAGCTAGACAATGGCATCTCTGAATTCAATAATGACATGCCTTTAACTGAAAATTGAATGTTTAATCTTATTATTATACATTACTGACTCTCTATCCTCCAATTTGATACTGTTAAGTGCTTTTTTGTTACAGTATATTTTAATCTTAAATAACAGTAGGTAATAAAAGTACATCATGTTAGCTCTGGTCCAATTAAAAAATATAAACTAATAGAACTCAGGACATTTTTGTTCATGTAAAATATACCTCATTGTCATGTTCTAGACTTGTTATATTTAGCTTTAAATAAATAAAAATACCCCCTTAATATTGTGGCAGTTTTTTCTCCGTGGTATCGAAAATGGTATCGAATATCGATATTTTTCAAGGTATCGTATCGAAGTTAGAAATTCTAGTATCGTGACAACACTATTGGGAAATAACCTGATTCATTTATTAAGTCTTGTAAAGGCTGTTTACTTGCTTCACCGTGTTATTGGTTTGCATTTTTGGGAGTTATCAGTGTAACGGTGTGCATGTAAACATGCTCATTGACTTAACAGATATAGTGTTCAGCTTCATTCACTGACTATGAAATACATCTACAGAGTTTAATAATCCTTACAGACAAACTGCTGCATGAAACTGCTCTAGATGTTTTTATTTATTTGAAGTACATTTTTAAATTTCACAAACAGCTTAAAAGACGCATCTTAGATTTCGTTTAAAAGGTATTAAAATCATAACAGTCACCGCAATTACCACTGTAGGGCACTACGTGAAAGACTTTTTAAAGATGTGCAGTAACTCTGTATTCATACTCCTTTATTCACAAAAATCTACATCATACCCCATTATGACAAAGCAAAAACCAAATTTGTGGTAACTTTGCAAATCGTGCTACAACTTTATTTTCCACACCACTCAACCTATTGTTTTGTTTTTTATTTAATTCATATCTAATTATAAAAAAATATATAATTCATTGCAGGAATTCTAGTTAAGCTTTTGAGATGTTCATTACCTCTCTGATCATCATCATCATCATCATCAAACACTCTGCTTCTCTTCTTTGAGATTCTCTTCTCTATACGATCACTGGAACACAAATCAACACATTTAGTTTAAGAAACTCATCAAATGTTTGGCGTAAACCTTCACAAACTTTCCAGCAATACTGGCACTAACCTTGGTTCCACAGAATCAGAACTGCCCTCACATGATGGAGAGTCTTATGAAGACAGGGAAAATCAGTTACATTACCAAGTAAATACTTCATGATAGTCATTTTAGTTAAATCGCAGTCAATACATTTTCAATAATCTAGTCGCAAGCAGCAATTATGGGGCCAAGCACATCGATGGCATAACGTTTGATTGAATATAGCATTCCAGTGATGTTTTCTGGCAAAGTAGTTTAAAAGGTCATACGCAGAATTAGAAAGTACTACAAAGTAACATTTATTTTAATATTTTGACCAATAGGTTGTGTATCATTTGAATTTTAGCAATTTCGATTCCGATTCTGACTATCAATTCCGATTATTGATTCCCAGTTTCCATTTCAATATGGTAAAAAAAAAGTCAAACATAGATATTTATTCTGACTTTTTACAAAACATTCTGTTGCAGCTGAAAACCATGAACAAAAATAAAACCCAGCAACCTAAAGAACTACCATCTAATAAACTAGACTAACAAATTTCAAACATCATTGAAGAAAAGTATAGTCAGTGATACAATACAACAAATAAGCAATGGTTTTCTTTTTATACATACAATATAGATTCATTCTCCAGTCAGAATTAGTGAGCGATTTTATTTTTCTTTTGTTCTTTGATGAACATTAATGACACATGAATCAAGTTTCAAACGTTTAGGAAGTTACAAGCAAAAAACCTGCACACGTTTATTCAGGGCATGAAAGCTTTTGCTTTTTTTGGGGGCCAGTGATGGTCTAACAATGGCCTGGACCAAATTTGGTGAAGATCTAACAGCAGAGTACTGGTATTGGCAAGTAATTTTGCTTACAATGTTTTTTTTTTTTAATCATTTGTGGCGCTAGAGGGTTTAAGATAAAGATTTGCTATTGCACATGCTCAGACTGTCCTCTATCTGTGTACGAACACAGAACTTCTATGGGCAGCCACAGACTTCAAGAGCGAAAGACTACAAATTACCAGAGAACTGCATTCATGCCTTCAGTGCTGGGCCTCTAAAGATAATGATCAACATTGGCTTCAATGAAAATGTATCACGCTCACCCTTTGATTCAGCAGAGGTGTGTTTCCTCTGGCGAGACAATAGCAAAGCTCTCAGTGCTTGAGCTCTCAGCTCCTGGTTATCCTCCTCCTCCTCCTCCTCCTCCTCCATCTCAACAGCCCGACTGGTGTCCTGGTTTCCTTCAGAATCCCCTTCAGCTTCGGTCTCAACCGGGTCCAGAGACACTGCTAGTTTCCTCAGCTGATCAACACTCAGACTGGCAGAAATCCTCCAGAAAGACTCCTGATGAATGCAGACCGGATGAGAACTACTACAGGTACAGTGCTTTCAAATAATCGCTATTACACTAATATGGAAGCTTCTGAACACAGACTATATAAGTGAGAAGCCGAGAATAAGAGAAAGAAGCCCAGACCAACCTGTCCGTCTGAGGGTGGACGGATGCCAACCATGCCCAGAAGTTTTTGGAAAGCCCTGTTCTCCATGGCATCCTCGTTCTCCTCCGTCAGAGGAACCAGGGCCACAGGATGAGAAACACCTGGAGAAAGAGATGCAATATTTTACATGATTATACAGCTTATAGTAGGCCTACAGTAATATTGTTGAAGTGTTTGCTGTTGCTAGAACGATTGTTTTGTACACTGTAATGGATTATAAGGTAATAAACAGGTATGATTTTAAAACGGTCAGATTGGCCACTGCGTTCAAGAGATCAACAAACATGTCTGTGATTGGCTACATTGCTACACATTGTTAGCCTGGTAATACCAAACTCTGCTACTTCGCTTTGCTTCGTAGACAGAGTCTGGCATGGCATAATTGAAAAGTGTTTTCTTTCTCGCGCTTGTCTGAAGTATAAAATCATTGGTTACCCGTAAGCCAATCACATAACGTTATGACGCGTGTTATTCGCCAGCTCAGCCGCATCGAACTTCCACTGTAAACACATGTATGATGCGAAAACGAAACCATCGAGCGAAATACCGGAGTGAACATGGCTGACCGAGTTTTGCTGCCTCCTTAACCTGATCCTCCATGAGTGCAACCAAGGGGGACGCAATCACAACTGTCGCTTTGGCCTGCCCAGTTTCTCGCTGACGATCGGTAATATTTGATAAATTAAACTTTTCCCAAAACCTGTCGGGAGTAGGGCCACGACATCACCTCCATTCAAAAGGTTTAACAAAGACTCTTCTTGTTCGGAAATGCCGGGAATATTCTCCACAACAGAGCGAATTGCATCCCGTGTCTCCAAAACCGCGGTCGTTTTCGATTTCCCCAATCTTAAACTCGGCGCTTAGCGTCTACGTCACGGCTCTCAGCCCGCCCTCTGTTCGTTGATTGGCCGGCTGTTTTCAGGCCAGAGGAAAACTGAGAGACATGTCGATGTCTCAGACTGAGTACAGAACAAGCGTGCCGCACAAGCCCTCAAAAGTGAAGCCAAAACGTCTCAATCGCCCCCCAGTGAGCGGTCCTAGTATAGGTCATAAACCCCGCCTCCCCGTGTTATTCAACAGGACGCGAGACCAACTAAACAATTAAATTACACTTCACATATCTTTTTTCTAAATATATTTTCTGTCATTTACTGTAGTTTCTATCACGTTGATGTACTTTCAAGTGTTTGTTTTTAAAATAAGTTTGTTTTTAGTTAGTTATTTGATGCTAAAAAACGGTGCTGTGACATCATGATTGACAGCTGTGATTGACAGGTTCTCTGTTTGAAGTAGTCACTGAAGCACCAACGGACTTTTTTTCATAATGTTGACTATGTGGTTAGTAGTTGTATTTACCTTATTTTAACGAGGTACTGCAATCAGCAGACATCATTGGAGAGGAACGGAGCAGACAGAGGCCACTTACGAAAAGTGCAGGGCGTGTGCTTGCGATTGATTCAGCGAGAGTGGGGGCGGGGCCTTGATTTCGCGGCTTTACTTCCTGCTCACGACTGCGCATGACTGGTCCCGAAAACGCTACTGCGCAAACTCGAATTCCAATATGTCAGCGCCATATCGGGACACTGCCGGGCTTCAGTTCTCTCCAATGGAAAAGAGCGAAGGGGCGTCGTCCATCTTTTTTTACAGTCTATGGTACAGAAGCGAACTGAAATAGAGCGGAAGTACGAAGTCTGACGCAGTCAGGCTAACACATTGTAAACAGAAACATTTGAAGTTATCCAGAGCGCAAACGTTAAACGTTAGTAGACTAGAAGAGGCTAAGTCGACCAAAATTGTATTAGTCGGAGAAAAAGAAAAAACTACAGGAAGTGGAGAAGTCACGCAGGCCGTGAGGGATGGATCGTTAACGGCGGGTCTTTGTGGTAATTACAGTATATCGGGCAGGAAATCCAAACTTTACAAAGTTGCTTGCTCTAACGTTAACCTAGATAAATGTGAGCTATTATTAGGAGCATATCCAAGTGTTATATCTAAACATTAAGTGTGTCCGCTCAAATCCGTCATTTTCTTTCCAGCTCAAATTATACGCTACTGTACCAGACGGAGCCAGGGGGTGTTTAGCAGGTGTGGGACCATGACTGATATGTTCGATGGGGAAAGAAAACCAGCTTCTGTTACAGAAGTGCAAGCAAAAATACCTTTAGATTAAACAGGTCAATGCGAATGGGGCAGTGCTACACGCTACAATGGACACAGAGCTGACCTGTGGCACAGTCAACATGTGTGTCTGTCTAGGGCGCAAAAAGATAGGGGGCGCCGCACGAGAGGCATGCCGGCTCTAGAGAGTGCTAAGCAGGCATTTGATCATAAGCAGGAGTGACCAAGGCTTTAATCAATGTTTTATGTCCTCACCATCCTCCTCACGGTCATCAGCCGTTCTGTTCAGGCAGTTCTGTAGCCACAGGACAGGCCCTGACAGACCTGTTAAACAAACTAAATGTAAGTAACTATCTCAGCCTTCCTTCAGAAAACCTCTTTAAAATCATGCCTGACAACTTCAAGTACCTTGTTGCTGTAAAGTCTGGACCATGTTTCTCACACTGTGGATTTTCTCTGAAGAAATGTTTCTACTCATGCTCTTTTGGCCTCTTTTGGCTGAGTTGGCAGTTTGAGCCTCATTGTCGTCTTCATCGTGCTCAGATTTATCCTCTTCTTCTTCTTCCTCCTCCTCCTCCTCCTCTATGTCCATGTCCTTCTCCTGGGACTCTCCAGTCACATCAAAGAACTCTTCCTCTGTCTGACACACACACACACACACACACACACATTTACATATATGAGGAACCTTTTCATAGTTCCTAGAACTAATGGCAGAAATACCTGGAAAACGTTAAAAAAAATGCTCACCGCCGGGACGAATTTAGTTCTAGGAACTCCTTTTGAAGGAACTAATTTAGCTCCTGGTTCAGAGTAGGGTCTAAACCAGCACTATAGGAACTACCAGTGATGTTGGTGTACACGGATTGGCCAAACACACGCGAAACGCCGGCACTCGCCATTTTTAAAAAGCTGTGTAAACACACCGATTATAGTCTATATATTTACTGCACAAACTTACTCTATGAACATGGAAAAGGGAGAAAATCCAACACAACTTTGAGGGGACCAAGTGAAATATGATTTTGTATTTCTGCTCAGCTAGTGACATTGGGACCCTTTTGTGTCTCTGAAAAATAGCGATTATTTTTCATTGTCAATTAGTTGAGGGATTTGTGGATGCATTCATGTTTTTAGATTTGGGGTAAGATGAATTGTAACTATTTTCAAATTTATTCCTTATTGTATTTTATGGACTTTTTATTCAATAATTCCATGAACTAGATGAACATTTCAGACATGTTTACAATTCATTAAAACCTTAAGACTTACTGAGTGAAATCAATTTAAATTCATAGTGTTGCTTTTATAACAAATATTTGATTAAAATATAGCCAATTAAATATGTAAATATTAATCTCTTTTACTGGAATTTTGCTCGACAAACAAATTGTCAAAGCAATTTTATATAGAGTAGTTGATTTGTTATTTTACATTAATGACACTTAAAATAAAAAGTCATTTCTGTAAAGCTCAGGTAGTGGAGAAAGATTATCTTTCTATAATTTTATATGTCAGTGAGAACATTTTTCTATTCATTACCCTTCATAACACAAAGATACGATACCTTCTTGGCCAGAATCGCTGCGGAAAGGTACAAAAATGTCATGCACACGTGACACCGCCACATGAAATGGGGTCCTGCGCACTCAACGCACACACCGTGATGGCGTGCTTTTTTCCACGCGCACACCCTCGCACTCATGCGGACGTGGAGAGAATAAACCAGGCTTTATATGTTGATGGACGCACCATTCCAGCACTCCTGCCAGCAGCGCCGCGTTGTCTCTTCTTGTACAGGTCTCTGCGGTTGGACGCTAGACCCATGCTGAGGATCTTGTCAACTATTCGTGCCCGTGAGCGCTTGGCTGTAATCCGCTTAAGAACATTTCCAAGCACATCTACGAAAACAGCAGAGAAAGCAGAAATAAAGGACTTTGCAGGCATAACAATGAGTCGAGAGAAAGGAATTGCACCAGAAAGCAATTTTATGAATTTCATTTCAAAGGTTTCATGAACCTTAAGTGCACAAAACATGGACATCACTGAAAGTAATGACAACTTCAGATGATTCAGTAATAATCAGATGTTAATTCAGAAATGACTGAGGACATGTTCACACTAGTAGTTTGGTTCTTTTGGTCCAGAACAAAAAAGAAAATGATACATTTGCTCCTGTTTCGCTTCGTGTTCACACTGTCATTTTTAACACCGAATCTAAAGATACAAAACAAAACACTGCTTTTATGACATACATTTTGCGACAGAACTAAACATCCAAACAATGCCGTGCGCTGGGATAAATGCGTTCGCTGTATGAGCGTACTACTTATGATGATATTTTTATCAGCCGAGAACTCGAGAGAAGCTTAAAAAATGTGTAAAACAGGCAAAACAACGGCAGGAATTCCAGTCACAAACAAATGAAGATCGGCTGCATTTGCAATGCGGCTCTGACTACTGTACCGAACAGTAATGGGCAACATCGCGACTATGACAAGAAAAGCCAGGTAATTCTTGAGGGTCGCATCTTGTGACATCACATCCTGTTTTTGGCTAGTTTAGATGTCTTTGGTGCGGTTAGACTGAAATATGAATGCAGCGCAGACCAGAGTTCGTTTGGAGCCGGTCTTGTTTGGTGCGCACCAGGTTTCGTCGGCAGCGTTCACATTTATTCATTTGAACCGTACTAACAGAGCAATTGCACCAGAGTTTGTTTTGATCAAACCAAACCTGTCGAGTGTGAACACATCCGGAGTTATTTAGTGAGTTCCATAATTCAAATGTAAAAATGAATTTTGAAATAAAAAGCAACATTAAAAAATCCTTAATACTGTTTTTACTGGATTATGAAATAATTACACACACACACACACAAATATATATATATAAACTAGGGCCGGGACTTTAACGCGTTAATTAAGATGAATTAATTACACACTTTAACGCGTTAATTAATTACACCAAAAATTATTTTTAATCGCACTTATTTTTGCACCGCGGAACGTTTCTCACTGGATGAGTTTCGGCGGACCGATTATACTGGCGCACCAACTAGCGTTCATGACGAAGAAGCTGACGAGATCGCTTTGATTGGCCGGTGGCTGGGAAATGTTGTTACAAAAAACGAACGGATGGACGCGTCGATAAGAGCATGGTTGTGTGCAAGCTATGCAACAAGGAATTCGCTATTGCTATTAGTGTAGTGTAGCAATATGCTATTTTGTTGCAATATGTTATTGCTACACTTAATGGCAAAAATTGCACTGGTCCGCTGGACTTGGTTGAACAAAAATAAACAATATTTTGTTGCTTAAGCTTATGTATGCAGTCATTATTCAATGGTATACTAAAAATCCATGTGAAAAAAATTACTTCTCACAGTTCTCAGGTCAAATATTTATGCGATTAAAATGCGATTAATTTCGATTAATTAATTACAAAGCCTCTAATTAATTAGATTAATTTTTTTAATCGAGTCCCGGCCCTAATATAAACCTTAATTTGCACTAACCATCAGAGTCTTTAAACTCCTCAAAGAGCACCTGGAGTTCCTGTTCCTGTTCTTCAGTCCAGAGCACGATACGAGTGCCTTTCCTGACCAAATGAGAGGGGGGGGAACTGTTTTAGTCAGTAGGGGTGTAAAATGCTTACGCATATCAATAGTTTGTTTAAAATAACGTGTAAAACAGACAGAGTTAGGCTAATGTACGTTTCTGACGATGGATAAGCATTCTGGCTTCCTCTAAACTTTGGTCATATTAGAGCAAATGGCTCTCAGTCATTTACATGCTCTACATGTCTACCGGCCTTTACTTTCAAACTTCAGACATTCAAATAAAATCGTACCTCTCTTTCTTTAAATCCTTCACACTGTCCACCAAACCCATGGAAACCATGTGGGTCACCAAGTCACGTCTAGTGCGGCTGCTGCTCAGCAACGGTAACAGCGTCTCGACAATATCCGGCACTGAAGAACAAAACACACAACACAGATCATTTAGAAGACTGTTACACATACTCAAAAACCAAACGACAGAGACCGTGAACAAGTGCAACTCTACCTCCAGAGTCCTTGTGCTCTTCATACAATCGCTGAAGCTGTTCCTCTTCTTCAGGAGTCCACTTGCCTTTTTTCTTTGTGCCTTCCCTAATATATATATATATATATATATATAGACATATGAATAAAACACATCACTAACTCTTGAGCACTGTAATGAAGCTCAAAGATATGAGCTTTAATCCACTTTAATATCAATAAGGTCTAAACACATGCACAATTACCCGTCTTTATGGTATCCCTCTGTCATTTCTCTCACAGCTCCCACAGTCTTCCAGAACAGCAGTTCCACAAACGCTTTGTTGTTTTGAGCAGCAAATACAAAGAACCGCTTCAGAACATATTTTGCAAATGTAACAAGCTCCTGTAAGGACAAAAAAGGAATTAATTAATCGGTTACATGTACATTAAAAAATTAATTCAATGACAATTTTGTTTTTATAAAAAAAATTTGGTCCCACTTTATATTAAGTGGCTTTAAGTGGATTTACTATGTACTAACGTTGAAATGAATAATTTGATACAATGGACTTATTGTGTACATACATACATGTTTTTACATTGTACTCATATTTTGAAAAAACCTGCATGTAATTACAGCAGTAATTAATTTATGTAATTACATTTGTAATTACACTGTGTTGACCCTTGCCTTACACCGTAACCCACCCTAAAACCGACCCATACCAGCACACCTGTCCCAAACTTGACCCGTATCACACCTCAATAGCAGCAAAAGTGTTTTACAATACAACATTAACACATTTTTCGATGTAAGTACATAGTACTTAAAGCCACTTAATATAAAGTGGAACCATTTTTTTTTATATATATCTTGTTTGTGTTTTTAGGCTCTACTAGAATAGGTTTTCATGCTTGAATGTTCAGAAACACATTATTTCCCCCATATTTTACATTGTTGCAGCTCCTCTTTTCCCAGTGTCGTATCTTTTCTTCCTTAACAAGCAGTAATGACCACTGACGACTTGAATTAAATAAAACGAACTGTTTACTGAAGTTAATGAACAGGATTACACATTGATACAGCGCACAAACATGGAGTCATTTTTCTTTCTCTCTTCTCTGTCTCTCTAGTTCTATCTGCGCGCTCAGCCCCCTAAGCATTTTGGGTAAACTTTTCTTAAAGCTGAACAACCTTATAAATGACAACACTGTTTCTGGTATTATTAAAGATAATTATTTAAACATTTCTATTCTAATTAATTCACAACATCCTCCCCCCATGAACAAATGTTCATCAACTTAAATCTCTAATGCATAAAGCAATTGAACGGGTCTCTTTAACACAGTCCTTGTGGATGTGCGAAAAGCACAGGATCTAACTTTGCTATCTCGGCCTGGAAACAGCTCTTCAATTTTTCCTAATTTCCAGGTTTGTCTCGGCATGTTGGCATCTCCTATGAGAACAATGTCACCCATCTTCAACTCAGTAGGTTTCTGTGTTTTGCAGGAATGTGCAGATTTCAGGTCCAGTAGATAGTCCTTCCTCCAGCGATTCCACAGGTTGGTCATGAGTCGGTTCCTGTATCTCCACCTCTTTGTCATATCCTCTTTACTCACAGTGGGATGATCATAGTCTGCTGGAAATGGTTTTGGAGGCAGTGAAGTGAGTCGTTCACCAACCAAGAAGTGTGCTGGTGTTAGTGGCTGCGGCTCGTCGATCTCATTGTGTACAAAGGTGAGGGGTCTGGAATTCAGTGTGGCCTCTACTTCTGCAAGGAGTGTAGACATTTCTTCAAAGGTAAGCGATGCTTTTCCTAGCACCTTCCTCAGGCTCGTTTTCACAGACCTTACAAGCCTCTCCCAAAATTTACCCCACCAGGCTGCTCGTTCTACAATGAAACGCCAAGTGATGCCCTTCCCTGAGAAGTATTCCAGAATTTGTGGATCTTTGATGGCCTTCCACAGCTCACTAAGGTCTTGGTTTGCTCTCTTAAAGGTTTTAGCATTGTCTGAATAGATGACCTTGCACAGCCCTCTTCTGGAAACAAATCGCTTGAGTGCTAACAAGAAACTTTCTGTTGACTGACTTGAAACCAGCTCCAAATGCACTGCTCTAGTGACAGCACATGTGAACAGAGCAACATAAGCCTTGCATAATGCACGATCATTCTTCACATACAGTGGACCTGCAAAGTCTATGCCAGTTACTTCAAATGGGGGGGGTCTCTGATATTCTGTCTCGGGGTAATGGAGCCGTGTCCTGGTGTGCGGGCTTTGCTTTAAATCTTTTGCACACAGTACATTTTGACACAATACTTTTCACAATTTGTCTGCCTCGCAAAATCCAGTATCTACTTCTAATTTGTACTAGTGTGTCTCTCAGACCAGAATGCATGATAAATTCATGGTTGTGCTGAACCAGCAGCTCACAATATCTGTCTTTGTTGGGCAGAATCCATGGATGTTTTTCTCTGTAACTAAAGTCTGACTGTTGCAGTCTGCCTCCAACACAGAGCAATTCATCTTCGTCAAGGAAAGGTTTTAGGTCTCTGATTTTTGAATCTGCGTTCAGGGTCTTACCAGCTTTCAGCAAATTGATTTCATGACTAAAGCTGCTATCTTGTGTCACCTTTATCCAGTACTTCTCGGCCTCAAACATTTCATCAGCAGTCAACTCACCTCGCATTTTGGAGCTTGAACTTGTATTGTGCACAAACCGCTTGATCCAAGCGGTGACTCGCAGAACTCGCTTCAGCTTACTGTACTTCAGTAAATCCAGCACAGGTTCCATTCCCTTTTCGTCACTGCCGCTACTGAGTTGCACGATGACCTGCTGACCTTGCTTTAGCTCACTAGTCACATCTTCATCGCTTTGATCTTCATCGCTCTCTTCCAATTGATTCAGTGCAGTCAGAAATGAAGGTCCTTTCCACCACAGTTCACTTTCCTTCAGGTTAGTTGCAGTCTGACCTCTGGTGGGAAGGTCTGCAGGATTGAACTTGCCTTTACAGTGAGACCACATTGCAGGATTAGTTAAAGACTGGATTTCTGAAACTCGGTTTGACACAAACTGTTTCCATTTGTGAGCTGGACTGCGAATCCACTGCAGCACAATCATCGAATCCGTCCACATATGAACTTGATGTAGCTCCAGATTCAGAGGCTTTAACAGACTGTTTCCTAGTCTTGCTCCAATCACTGCTCCCATCAGCTCAAGACGGGGCAGTGAGATCTTCTTCAGGGGGGCTACCCTGGACTTAGAAGCAACAAGGCATGTGGTCTTTGCTCCATCCTCAGCTACTCGCAGCAGGTAAGCGACAGTACTATAAGCTTTCTCGCTTGCATCACAAAACACGTGGAGTTGATGTGCGTCGTGTCTGTGCACTGATTTTATTCCATACCAACGAGGAATGTGTATGTGGTGGATCTGTGGAAGTTCTGAACACCATCCTTTCCATTCTTGTGCAAGATCAGTGGGCAGCTCCTCGTCCCAGCCAAGGCCTCGTATCCACATCTCTTGGAAGAGGCATTTTACTCGCACAGTGAATGGGGTAAGAAAGCCTATTGGGTCGAATATGCGAGCAGAGAGCTTTAGAACACTTCTTTTAGTATTCTCTCTTTTAGCTACAGCATCCAGCAGTGCAGTCAGGTCAAAGACAAATTCATCTGTTTTTGTTCTCCATACCAAGCCTAGTACCTTCAGCACTGATCCATGCGTTTCTGTCTCCTCTGAAGGTTCACTCATTGTCGTCTTCCATTTCTCCTTCAATGCAGCACAGTTGGTTGTCCACTTGCAAAGGTCCATGCCAGCTGCAAACATAATCTCCCTTGCACCAGTAGTTATGGAGAAGGCATTTTCAACATCACTTGCACTTGAGATTAAGTCATCAACATAAAGTGATTCTTTTATTATCTTTACTACCTCAGGAAGTTGGTCTTCATATTCCTTCAGATGCTTTCTCACTGTAGCTGCCAGGAGGAATGGGCTGGGGGACACTCCAAACACCACTCTCGTCATCCGTAGCACACGCAGCGTCTCACCTGCGTCTTCATGGGGTGGTGCAGTGAGCCAGAGGAACCGCACTGCATCTCTGTCCTTCTCAGCAAGAGAAATCTGCAAGAAGGCCTTCTTGATGTCTGCGGTAAATGCAATCTTGAATTTTATTAGTATGCTGAGCAGATCTGGATTCAGGTTAGGACCAGTAAGTAGACAGTCATTCAATGATGGAAAGCCAATGTCATGTGATGAAGCATCAAACACTACTCTGAGCTCTGTTGTTACCTTGTCCTCCCGAAGAACAGCATGATGAGGCATGTAATACTTTACAGTGTTTGGAGCTGATCCATCCTCCATCACGTCTTCGACGATGCCTTGCTTAAGGTATTCATTCACGACTTCATTATATCTGTGATACAACACTACATCTGACCGCCACTTTCTTTAAAGTCCTTCAAATCTTTTTCTTGCCATTCTGTAGTTATCTGGGAGTTCTGGTTTGTCAGGTCGCCATGGCAGCTCAACTTCATATCGCCCGTTTTTGTACTGAGTAGTTTTTTCAAACATGTGAAGAGCCTCCTCTTCTTCAGGGCTGTCTGTCTGCTGCATGGTAATTCCAAGGGACTCTATTTCCCAGAAGGCTTTCAGACGTTCTGAGACCAGCGTGTCTTCATTAATTTGTATGTGCATGCATGCTGTGTCGGAAACACTGGACATTGTGACTGGGCCCTGCACTGACCTTCCAAAAATGCTCTCAATGGCCACAAGTGCATCTGTGATTCTTTCCACTTGGCCTGACACTATATGCCAATAATAGTCTGCACCAATCAGCATGGACAACTCTGTATCACAAGTGCTGGGGTCTGGGTAGTCTGCCAACTGCAAGCCTTTTCGTTTCAACTCTGCTTGGATGTGCTCACCTGGAATCTTCATCACAGCAGTGCACACTTGGGGGGTCTCGAGCGCTTCTACTTCCACCATCTGCTCTTTGTTCCAGATGCTTTGTAGAATGACTTTCACTGTGTTGCGCCTTGATGTTACTGGTGCTGCAGAGCCAAAAGTATGAAGAGTGAACGTTTCTTGCTTTGTCACAGGCAATTTTAAAGCTCTTACTGTGTTCTCACTGATGAAGCTTCTCTGACTGCCCCCATCCAGTAGGCAGCGAATGCTTTTACGTCCACCAGGTCCTTCTGCCCATGCTCTTACAGTCTGAAGAAGCACAGTGTTCTGTTTATTGGGCTGTATCTTAACAGAATGCGAAGCAAATGAAGAAACTACATCATCTTTGTTGTCAGTGTCTAAAGTGTTTGTTTCTCCTTTCTCACACACAGCACTATGATGTCTGCCTCCACACACATTACAGCACACCTTGGCCTTACAGAATCTTGCAATGTGTTTCGGCCCAAGACAAACAAAGCATCGTCCCAGTTTCATCAATTTTACTTTTCGAGCAGCAATATCAGTTCCTGGACACAGTTCTGTTTTGTGTGCTGCACTTTCACAGAAAAGACATATCTGTATTCTTTGACTGGTGGTTTGCAGTACTGCAGCTGACGGCATGTGATGCTTTTTCTGCTTCATTTCAATTGATGTGTCTGGTCTTTTAAATGGTTTTTGATAGCTCTGGCTGTCTTTGGAATTACCTGGCTTAATCAGTTGCATGGCTCTTTCTCTGCTCAAAATCTCTTTCTGTAGAAATTCCATAACTTCTGAGACCTTCCATTCATCACTGGTTCCTCTTTGGCGACTGTACTGGAGAGTAATGTCGTCTGGAATCATCTGTAGCAGAACAGGGCATAGCAGGCTGCCGTATGCCTCTGATGCAACACCCAGCGATTCTAAGCTACGGATCTGCACTTCACATTCATCATAAAGTTGTCTCAGAGCACTCACATCGTGTGATTTCTTTACTGGGCAGAGATTCAACAACTTGGTCATATGCGTTTTAATGAGCAGATCCTTTCTTCCGAACCGGTTCTGAAGCAGATCGATCGCGTGATCGTAATTGCTGTCTGTCAACATCAGTCCCGCTATTGCCTTTGAAGCAGCGCCGGTTACGTATGTCTTTAAGTAATTAAACTTCTCTGTTTTGCTCAGCGCGTCGTTTCTGTGAATAGCGGTTTCAAACTGATTCCAAAAGTCTTGCCACAAGCTAATTTCACCGCTGAACTTGCTGATAATTAACTTGGGTAACTTAACTGTTTGTCCACGCTGCAATGGCACTGCATCACACGGCCTGCTGTTAGTGCTTTCCCGGATTCTCTGCGTCACGCGCTGCACGCGAGCTTTCGCGCTGACGACTCGCTCTCCATACTCCTCCGCATTAACAACTTCATTTTCCAAATCATCCATTTCTGTACACTCCTGTATTTCGCGATTCAACTCCAGTAGCGTTTCCTCTTTTGCAGATAACAGGGCTAACAGTTCACATAATCTGTCAACGATCGGATCTTCTTTGCCAACCTCTGTTTCTACGTCTTGCAAAAGTCTCGTTGTGGAACCACGTACAGCTCTCCGTTTTCTGAGTAGTCTTCAAGTCGCTCCGCCATTTCGGATGTTGCCTGCAAGTTATCCCGGGTTTTCGGCACCAAAGAATGTCGTATCTTTTCTTCCTTAACAAGCAGTAATGACCACTGACGACTTGAATTAAATAAAACGAACTGTTTACTGAAGTTAATGAACAGGATTACACATTGATACAGCGCACAAACATGGAGTCATTTTTCTTTCTCTCTTCTCTGTCTCTCTAGTTCTATCTGCGCGCTCAGCCCCCTAAGCATTTTGGGTAAACTTTTCTTAAAGCTGAACAACCTTATAAATGACAACACTGTTTCTGGTATTATTAAAGATAATTATTTAAACATTTCTATTCTAATTAATTCACAACACCCAGTCTGTCAGTAACGCTCTGTTTAGTTCCTGTCTCTATGAAGCCCCTACTTTTGAAAAATACAATGTGCTCTGATTGGTCGGCTGGATGATTTTGCTCTGATTGGTCAACAGCTTCGAGCGTGTTTGCGAAATGTCCCGCCTCTTACATTACTGCGAGTTCCAACACACTACTAACTAACTCAACCAGGCCCGCCCCCTTTTTTGCATATAGAGATATATAGAATTACTCCCTTTGGAGTGTCTTAATAAAGGGGTCATATAATGCACTTTTTCAAGTTGATTGTACTGAAATGTGTGTTGGCAGTGCCTGTACACAACCATCATATAATGATAAAAATCCATCCAGTGTTTTTGTTTTAATCTCCTTATATTGTTTTCCCCTGCCTCAAATCCAGCCATTCGACCGTGTGACGGACGCCCCTCCCACGATTGTTGATTGACAGCAGCGTTTCAACACATCCTCGCCCTGAGCGAGCTGTCATCATAGTCCGCCATTGTTGATACGCTGGAGCAGAATGGCGTCTAAGCGATTGTGGTGTTCTGTTCTTGGGTGTAATAACGAACACAGTCATTTTAATGTTCCTAAATCCGAACCGCTGAAGACGCAGTGGCTGAGTTTGTTTTCGAAGGGAATATTCCACACGAGCAACGTCAATGCGTTCATGTTTGCGCGAATCATTTCTCACCAGACTGCTTTATAAACGAGGGTCAGTATAAAGCTGGTTTTGCTAAGAAGCTGCTCCTGAAAAAAGAATCGGTAACTATTCATGTTCCCTCTGCACCTCCAGAAGAAGTGAGTGTAAAATTGTATTAACCTTTATATTAATCTTTGCAAATTGCTTGCACGCTTCACGATGAATGCGGCTAAGGTTTACACTCGGCATGTTTTCTATGTACGACATTCTCAATATAATTCATAGTCCCACGTTTATAATGAACAACGCGTTATGGTTATTGTGTTATTACAAACTGAGTACGTATACATCAGTAAACACATAGCGTTCGTACATCTCACTAAGTTACTCTAACGTTACCCTGCCAGTACATACAAAGTGACATTATGTTACCCAACCATTCAGAAACGTCCTGTTCGAGCCTTAATTGTCGAACTTCTTTGCGGCCGTCATATTGTTCCGGGTGCGACTCTGGTTCAAACTGATACGATTGCAGATGTGTCCTCAGAGACTCCCGCTGACATTCTTTCTCCAAAATACACCCTCAACTGTTGTCAACTCAACACTCCACGTGCATTGTCAAAACGCCCGCAGAAAAGAGGGGCGGAGTCAGCGAAGCTCATTATCATTTAAAGGCATATGCATTGAGACGGCGTGCTGAAAACAGAGCTGTTTTTGACCAGGTAAAATTAGTGTTTTCTTACAATACTAATGAGAATTTTTAAGTAAAGTATATTACAAACTTTGCATTTAGACCCTAAAGAATCAAATTAACTTGTATGAAAATGGCATTATATGACCCCTTTAAAATGTATAAATATCTTTTTCCAGCTCAAACAGCAACGTGTAAGGGATAATGTACATCCAGCCGGATATCACAGAATAAACCTTGGCAGGGGGATTAGGCTTATTCTACGATAACAACCGGCTAGATGTACATTAACCCGCTTATTACACGGCTACTTGCCACATAAGAAAATGATTATACATGAAATATTGACTTTTTTATTAGCTCTTTAAACACAAAGCTTATGCGGAAAGAGCAGTTGTTAGCAAGCGGCAAGCTCAAACTAGACACATTTAAAGGATACAGTACAGTCATACCACTATTACACGGTATTGCACCACATAATTATGGGGATAAGAGGTTTGATTTGAGATGAAACTGTATTATAATTGTACCCGTTTGTGGTCTCATAACCCATGAGAGTGTACAAAAGTATTAGTGTATAAGTGGAAAGTATTAGTGTCTGTTACCTGATAGGCGGCCGCTGCTGGGTCTCCCAGGATCTTATTAAACAGGGAAAAGACGGACAGCTGATAGAGTAACGCCTCCATCTTCATATCCACAGCCAGTCTGTGCAGCATGCGCGCGATACAGTGGTTGGTGTGAGAGGAGTTCTGGGAGTACGAGCGCAGAAGGACAATATAAGGACGCACAACAGCTGGATTGGCAAACCTGTCAATCAAAAATTTCAATTATGGAATATTACTGGAACATAAAAACAAGAGAAACATTAATCCAACCTTACTTTGAATCAATATCAAGTGGAATTTTCTACATTTTTGATAAATCATCAGCATGATTAGCTTTTCCATTGTTGGGCCGAACAGTTCTAAGAACGGTAAGGAACGGTTCCACTTGTATTTCCACTCGCACTGTTGGCTAACCAGGGCAACGACACACATTTGACGCAAAGAGCGGCCGTTATCAAACCCACAGTGGAAAATGAAACCGTATCTGTACCGGCTGGGGCAGACGGGCACAGAAAGGAACGTTCAAGCAACGAGAACGGTTTGGCCCGCCAGTGGAAAAGCAGCTTTTGTTAACAAGGCCAATAAACTGTCACACAATAAACTGTCCGTTCTTCGTACCTCGCTTTATACATCTGAGACGATTTGACAGATGCTAGATCTTCTAATCGTGATAACTGATCTCTGGCCTATTTGGTTCTTCAAACGAGTTTGCAGATTTGATTAAAATATCTGGATAAGATTATCGTGCGTTCATTGGAAATGGCAGATATATCGGGGTGTAGAGTTACATTCAAGGCATGAAGAATATTTTTTTGCCACAGGAAATGGCATTAAATGTAATTTGGTAATCAAAGACGTGTTTTAAGGGATACAATGATTGACTACAGGGGGACCTGTTTGCGTCAGAAAAAGATGATTGACATGCACTGTTGGGGGGCTTCAGGAACAGATTTGACAACCACTGACTGCATTAAAACAATCCTTATTGGCATATTGGTTTTATCAATACAGAAAATACAAGACTGGAAGTTTAGTTTTTAGCTGGGAAATTAACTTTTTAAATCTGCTCGAAGTGTAAATAATTCTCTCCAGTCACCTCTTGATGAAATCTAAGAAGTTGAACTCCGTCTCAGACACAGCAACAGACTCAAGCTCTTCCTCTTCCTCCAACTCAACTCCATCCTCTTCCTCCAGAGCCGAATCTAAAGGAACGGACCCTACACAACACAAAGGCCATCCATCACTCACTGTGCTGCTCCAGTAATGTCAATAACAGTAGAGTATTGTTTGTAATGGAATCAGGTTGAAAAACAGAAAACCAATAATTTAGGAGTCAGTACCAAAACCAATAAATAATTCATGATTATTGATTTGAAGTTTGATACTAAAGCAAAAACTTTTAATACTGGAAAACACATTGTTTGAAAATAAAAAGATGAAATAAGTTAAATAATAATAAGCTGCTGAACATCTTTTCAGGCAGCAGAGAGACTGCATAAAGCGCCCTGTCAATTAACTTTTGACAATAAACGTTGCAAAAGGGAAACATTTACTATATAGCATCTCCTACGAAACACCACGAAGAACTGCAGGTAGTTCTTCATTTAAAAAAAAATCTCTGAGAAAAAACCATCAAACATTGACGTAAAATTACAGAGCAGAAAGATAGTAAATCAAAAAAGCTCAAGGGAAAAAAAAGGTGAGGAAAATGCGGCCTTGAACAGAATCATAGTAGTTTCACAGGTTTAGTAGTACAGTGTGGTTGTATAATGTAATATTGTTTGTGATGGTATCAGGTACAGTAATATAGTGTAATATTGTGATCTTACTAGGGAGTTTAGTGAAAAGAATCTGCTTCAGAAGTTCTAGTTCCTCCTCCGGTTCCACCTCGACAGATCCAAACGTTTCTCCTTCAGGCCACACTGCCCTGATTCAACACAAATCCCAGAGAATGAGCACATCCTTTCTAGTCCTAACTCCGCCATAACCTTTTCTATCAGATAACAAAACAGCAGGATCCTTCCCTACTATATAGTAGGCCAAAAACAGTATGTGACAAAAGTACCGGTAGTGTGTCTGAATTCACAGTACTCATAAAGAGCAGGAAAGAAGTACCCAGATGACCTACTTCTTCCAGCGAGATTCTGAAGTGTGCATACGATGGACACTTTACTATCCCATGAGGCATCGGGAGAGGATTTATGAATGGCAGTGATGCAACGCACGCAACTGATGCTGGTAAGTCACATGATCACAACATGGCGAATGTATTACGTCTGGATTTCATTCATAATATATTCATTCATACTATATAGAACATATAAAATATAAACAGAAATATATATATTTTTTTAATTCGAGTGACATGTATGGTTGCCTAAATATGTCATCCACAAAACTGCTGTAATAATTACACATTAGTAATTAGTTTTCTTTGAACTAATTGCATTAAGATGTTAACTGACCAAAATTATGAGATTACTCATTTTCACATATTTAAAATTATTGACAGATCTTCTACGAACCATTTAATGCATCAGTGACAAATAACATCTTTTTTAAGTATCAGGTGAATCAATCAGCGTCACACACTTTTTCTTGTGTGGAGTAGGGCTGTCAACTTTAGTCGTTTAGTCGACTAATCGGTCGATGCCGTCTTGGTCGACTGACATTCTCATTGGTCGACCAGTTGCATTTTTTTTTTTTTTACCAAAAGAAAGAAATTTTCATTGATTTACTCCTTGATATTTATTCCTTTATAAGCAGTTATATATGACTGTATTCTAAATATAATTAGCCTGTTTTATCCCCAACTTTAAATGCTGTAATTTAGGCTATTTTGTAACAGCGCCACAGTTTAGCGCACCACGTAGAACAGTCGGGAACCGCACCTGTGGCTGCACTGCTGCTGCGGCGGCGCGGACGCGCTTGGAAAAAACGAGAGCGTCGCTTCCATTATGAGCGCGCATATATACCGCGCCCCTACATTTGAAAAAACTAACTTGAGCGCGCAAAAGACGCGATATGTGAGCAGGCCCTTTATCGCCTTTATTATGCTGACTCAATAGATTGTGTTTTCTTATGTTTTTGTTTTTATTTGTACACTTGACACGTTTGAAAATAGCCTAAATAATGTAACAAAACGAAAATAAACCTATATGCCTTCCTACTATACAGCCTGTTATTATTAGGATCGTTTTTTAGGCTATTTGGGTTTTTTGTGTGTTTGTTTTAAAACGCCTAGATCGGCTGGACAAAAGTTAACCCATAGCTTTGAAAGTAAAGAAGAATAGACAGCCAGTATAAACGAGAGCTTTTGTTAGGATTTTTCATTATTTGGTAGTTTTAGCAGTTATATTTTTTGTAGCGTGTGGTGTTTGTGACTGTCACTATAGACCTAGGACAGAGCTTCTCACTTTGCAGTTAAAAAAAATCACTTCATTTTCAAAAGAATTGTATTATTATTATTATAGTTTTATGTATAATTGATGTTTTTTCGTTGTTGTTTTAGAAATGCTCTATGACAATTGTTCAATAAATGTTCAATCAAAATGCAAAACATCGGGTCTTTTTTTTTTTTAGTCGACGACAGCCCTAGTGTGGAGAAAAGCTAGGCATTTAAAAACGGTGAGAATCAAGAAGACACTCTCTGGGTGTTTTGGTGTGGCTGATGTCTTACCGTGCAGCCCGGAGTAAACTCAAAGCTTCAGGTCCTGAGCGAGATATAACGCAGTCTTGAATCTTGACCAAAGCTTCAGTCCTCTGCTCATTGACTGGAGTCTCCGATGCGGCGTCGAAGGGCACAGCACCCTCAGCCAGACTCTCTGACAGCTGCAGGCCCACACGAGAAACAGCAGACCCGAGTGTGTTTATATATTTTCAAAATCAGATCATTGTCCATCACTTGCTGGCGAGGCTGACTAACAGCAGGAGATGATGTACTGCTATTCCTGCAGATCCAGGATGTGCAATGTTTTTGAATTTTATACTCAATTTTAATCACTGAATTTATACAAGCGAAATTGAAAAGCTACATAAAATGTACAAAAACTATCTACCGAATGGGTGGTATTTGTAAATAGACTGAATATTTCGGAAATTAAATTTTTTTTAGTGTGAAATATTTGCAATTGAAATATTCACAGCTTAAATATACAATCATGTTGAATTTCAGCGCTCAAAAATGCAAGCCCTGAAAATACAATGCATTAAAGGGGTCATGACATGGCTTTTTAAAATTATTTTTAATATGTTCCTTGAGGTCGACATAACCTTTTTTTTTGCACAAAAAACTAAAAGCAAACAGAAATTAACATTATATGCCGAAAAACAATTATTTTCAACCCTCATTCTAAGCCTCTGTCTGGAATGATAAATTTTTAAGGGGCGGCTCTATTAAGGCTGGTCAGTAAACACCCGCTGTTATACAATACAATATTTATTTATAAGGCACATTTAAAAACAACCAAGGCTGACCGAAGTGCCGTACAGGATGGAATAAAACAAAATAATAATAAAAACTACCAACAAAGGAAAACACAACAATAGATAAAACCAAAATTAAGCAGTATTAAAGGCCAAGGAAAATAAATATGTCTTTAAAGAAGATTTGAAAGAGGAAACAGACGAGGCTAATCTAATGTGGAGAGGTAGGCTTTTCCAAAGTTTAGGGCCCGCACAGTTGCAAAGGCTCGCGCGATCACCTCGCTTTTTAAGTCTAGATCTAGGCACGATGAGTAGACATTGATCGCTAGATCTCAGACTTCTAGAGGGAGTGTAGGGCGAAGTAGATCAGTAAGGTACTGAGGGGCCAAATTGTTGAGTGCTTTATAAACAAATAATAAAATGTTAAAATCAATTCTAAAGTTGACAGGTAGCCAGTGCAGTGATGATAAAACCGGGGTGATCGACTCGTACTTACGGGTCCCAGTGAGAAGTCTAGCAGCTGCGTTTTGCACTAGCTGTAGACGGGAGAGGGAAGACTGAGAGACACCAACATAAAGAGAATTACAATAGTCTAAACGTGATGTAACAAAAGCATGGATCACTGTTTGGAAGTTACTCTTGGTTAAAAAAGGTTTCACTTTAGAAAGTTGGCGAAGATGAAAAAAGCACGATCTTACAACAGCACTGATCTGTTTATTAAAGTTTAGGTTATGATCGAACAGAAAGCCCAGATTTCTAGCGCATTGAGTTTCACAAGGTGCAAGTGGACCACGGTCAGCATCAAGAACACAGTTTTCCCTGGGCCCAAATAAAATGATTTCGGTTTTATTTTCATTTAAATTTAGAAAATTACTTGACAGCCAAAGCTTAAGTTCATTTAAACAGGCCAACATGATTGGCTAACGTCGTGCATAGGAAACAGTATCTGTTGAACGCAAGTAAGTGTTTTGAAAACACTGACTGTATCCAGTGTAGACAGTGGCAGTGATTATAATGGCTTGGGAAGCGACTGGTCTACATTTCTACTGATGTTTATTTTTATGCAAGTGTAATTGTGTACCAATGTACCAAGTGTAATTGATTATGTATCATTTTGATTTGTTGGGCCTGACACTGCATGGTTTACTTTTTGAGTGTATTTTATGTGTTGATGTCAATTCAGTCTTTTCATGTTTATCAATTTATAGGATGTTTTGGGATCACTGGTGATTGGACGTGAACAGCAGTTTATCCTTTCCAATAATTTGTCATTTAATGTTTTTACTGTCTGACAAAGATCAAAATGGTCTAAAGATTGTCCCATTTTTTATTATTAAAAATGCTCTGAGTGTTGTCCATCTTTCTTTCTGTTACTGATTTTCTATAACTCACCTGAAAGCCAGAAGATATGAGCTCTTGAGACACGATCTGCCATGTCTGTTCCAAGTCTTCAGCCGAGGGCTCTGTCTGAAGGCTCTTCTTGCTACGTTTCCTTCGTTTCACTCTTCTTTTCTGAAAGTCAAAAAAAGAAATGTATTTGTAAAATCCTTGCTTTTGAACCTTAATAGTTAGTCTAGAACCTTAGTCTAAAAAGATGGATCTTATGTCATTCAAATCTATGCATTTTCTCCACTTCATTTCAGGAAAACACGCTGTTCCTCGTCGTTTTAAAATGAAGAATTCGAGATCTTCTCCGAGACCCGACAGTGACGTCCGTTTCATGAGCGAATCTTTTGAACTTATCTTCAATGGCACCATTTATTTTCAAGTATTCAGCTGTAACTTAATGCCGTCTTTTTCTGAATGAAAGCCCGTATCACTCATATTATATCTACTGATGTCTCGATGAAAATGATTTCCCCCCAAATTTTAAACATTAGGCTTCAAAAAAAATATAAAAACCTTTAATTTAAGTGAACTTAAAACAATCCTCACTTAAACCCATAATAAATGTCATTTACCTATACCATACAGAAATTGAATAAGGTTATAAAACAGTCCGCACTCATAAATTTTAAATGAAATATAGATTAATCCTTATCAAAGCTACAAGCGTTCTTTAGTCGAGGGCAGTTAATAATTTTCTCTGTTCTCTATGTTCTTTAGGTTAACTTTACTGACAGACAGAATTAATGGCTCCTGTCACTTTAAGATCTGCCGCTGCTGACAGGATCTCACGCATCTCATTCTCTATTCAGCTACAGTTTACTTCCATTTAAGATTGTATTTAACTCATTTAAGACTGTTCTTGTGAGGATACTCGACAAAACGGACATTTTCGCATAAATGTGTGTGTTATTGTTCGTTCAAGCGCGAAAGAGAACTCGATACTGGCGCGCATCTTTCTGTGCGTCTCGTGTGTGTGTGCGCGCGTGTCAGGAGGACATTCACTGAAAGCGCGTTCTCTTTTGTCTTGTCGCGCATGATTGGTTTAAAGCATTTGCGTGAATAAGAGTGTGATCATAACCCTAGCTAAAGGATGACAGAAAGAACGGATGATGCGTTAATTGCTTAAATATTTTAACACGTTAGCTGGACAAAAATGAATCGCATGCGAAAATAATAATTTTTTCCTCACGGCCGCACGTCGGAGATCCGGCACGGTGCCCTGAGTGATCTCAATGAATGCCGTGTCATGTCTCACCTGCACTACCAGATTGTTTCGGCCCTTGCAGAATCTCTCCAGCATCCTCAGAAACAGATGTGTGGACTCCACCAGATCTCGGAGAAAAGAGCGCGGCTGCATTCGCTCATCAAATTTACGCAAGAGGGTCAGAAAAATCTCCCTGAACTCCATCAGATAAAAGATATTACCTGCACACACCGGAAGAAAACGAAACCAGTGACAAAGATGAGTGTGTCAGAGGAAAGGAAACATTTAAAGGGATAGTTCACTTTGAAATTAATTGTTGGTATGTTTTAGCTTACCTCAAGGGCATCCACGATGTAGGTGTCTTTGTTTCCACAGTAGTTTCAATTTTGATATTTTTAGGTCAAACCGTTCTTGTCTGTCAGTCATATAATGCAGGTCTATGGTCACCACCTCAAAGAGCATGCACAGAGAAGTCCAAATTAAACATGATTTAATGACTCGTAAATGTAAGTACACATTGATGGCCTAAGACACGAAACGAGCGGTTTGTGTGAGAAAACGAACAGCATTTATATCGTTTTTACCTCTTGTAAACACAGCCACGTCCAAGTGATCTGAGGGCGCCGGCGCTTCGGCCTTTTCTGGAAAGCACCGGAAGTGATCTCTCGCGCCTGTACGTCACTCATACAACTGTTTTATTTTTTATTTTTTTGGAATTGTTTTCTTTTACGACGGTTTAAACATCCCGGATAAGCGCAAATTAGTACCATTTTAATTAGCCGTCTTACCTACAATCTCTGTTCTGTGTAAACAATGAGTGACGTACACGCGCAAGGTTTCACTTCCGGCACTTTCCGGAAAAGACCGAAGCGCCGGCGCCCTCAGATCACTTGGACGTGGCTGTGTTTACAAGAGGTAAAACGATATAAATACTGTTGGTTTTCTCACACAAACCGCTCGTTTCGTGTCTTAGGCCATCAATGTGTACTTACATTTACGAGTCATTAAATCATGTTTAATTTGGACTTCTCTGTGCATGCTCTTTGAGGTGGTGACCATAGACCTGCATTATATGACTGACAGACAAGAACGGTTTGACCTAAAAATATCAAAATTGAAACTACTGCGGAAACAAAGACACCTACATCGTGGATGCCCTTGAGGTAAGCTAAAACATATCAAAAATTAATTTCAAAGTGAACTATCCCTTTAACAGTGGCAGTTATCTAATCCAATTTAAAATAAGCAGAGAAAAAAAAAAAAACATACTCTTGATGACACTAGAACTGTGTCGGATGTTTTCATCCTTTGAGCGATCCATTTCATTCACTGTCAGCAGCAGTTCCTGATACGCCTTCAGAGCCAAATGCATCCTGGTGAGAGGAGAAGATCACCCATTCATATTAAGAGGACTTCACTTAACTAAGTAATATGAACTTTTTTAGTCGTTCAAATATGCAGATGTCGGTTCTTATAGTTCAACACAAGATTCAGGGAGTTTTAAGACTTTGCTTTGTTCCAAACGTTGCCATTTCTTCTTGGCTCAGCTTTCACAAGGCAACATTTTAAGTCACGTGCCATAGACTGTATGTTCTGGGATTCGACTCATTGAGGTCATCTGTCAGGATTAAATCGAACGATTAATCTCTGAGATGCTCGCTAAACACCTTGTGAACTAAAATATTTGTATGTGTTTTGGATGGTTGCTCTGAAATATGTTTGTCTGACCAAATTTCAGCATTTCACTCTTGGCTCTAGGGTTAACCCACGATTCATTTTGAGAGGCGTTAGCAAAAGAAACACTCTGCTTTCACAGCCTGGTTGGTTGGGTCGGATTGCTTTTTCTCACCGCAAGCGAACCGCTCTCTTCTTTTCAAGCGGCCCGAGACCAACTCATTCGGGGGATCTCGGACTGATTTTTTGGTGCGGATCTGTGTGTGATTGTGTTCAAATATAATAGATCGCTTTTCACCAAAGAAAGAAAATGCGACAGTTTCCGAAACAAATTCTCCAAACAAGACAGGTTTGAAAACACCCTTAGTTTCTTCACGTGGAAATGACTGTACATATCAGGAAACAGGGAAATAACAAAGAGATACTTTTTAATAACAATAATAACTTTTTAATTACAAAGTAGTTTCCTATTGTTGAACACTTAAAAAACAGTCTCCACAAACTGCCTTTACAGAGGTTGTTGTTAGCATGCTACAGTACACATTTAATCAGTTGTCGTTCAATGGCTGTTTTTTGATAATTATTCTTTTTGATTATTACCGCTATCGCTCTTACACTCACGTGTCAACGTGAAAGTTTATTATTTGCATGCATTTTATATCCCTGCCAGTTTATTTTTTTGCATTTATTCATTTTCCTACTTGAATGCTACTGATCAATAATAAGACTTTGGTCATGTCGCTCACCCCTTCTTTGGCCTTTTTAAAGATTTCCATTTTTTAATTTATATCAACTTTTTAATAACAGAACTGATTCTACTGAAATGTAAACATTTAAAATGACAATAAATGGTAATAACTAGGGATGGCCCGATACCATTTTTTTTTCAAACCGATACGAGTACGAGTATTTACATTTGTGTACTTGCCGATACCGAGTACCGATACCGATATTTCTACCGCAAAAGTAATAGGCTCCCAGAAAAGAAGACGACTATTTTAGAACACAGGTTAGAAGACTGTTTTTATTTTCTTCTCTGCTTGTTTTAACAAGTCTAAAAATAAATAAAAATTTGTAAAATAATAAATGTATTAACACACAAACCACTGTTAATTTAACATAAAAGCAAGCAGGCTACTGCGTGCATGGTCTGGCATGACTGAATGCGCGCAAAGTGCGCTCCCTTAAATCCTAAAAAGCTGACAGTTCCTCGCGATCTCACACAACTCTGTTATTATCAATGAAGCTGACTGCACAATGAATCTTTCATAATATCCACAATTTGTTTGTTATAATTAGAGGATTTGCCAGCATACAGAATTCAGCACTGAACAAAAAAGTCCGGTTTGAGCGGTGAGGGGAGTCTATCTTAAATGCTTCTGATTGGCCATTCCGTTCAAGAAATAAACACATATGTCTGTGATTGGCTACATCGCTCAACGCTGTAACCATGTTATGAATAGAAACTCTGGCCTGTAAATCGTTTCTATTTTGTTGTAGTTGTTCTTGTTGCTTTTCTGCAAGAGATGAATAAAAATCTTTTAGTTTTTATGTTTTATTTATAGATATTTCTAGTTTGCGGGAGTCCCGCGAATCGTTTTATTCTCCCGTAACCCGCAAACACAGAGTGAGTGCATTACCGCCCGCGCCCGCGCTCGGCCATCAGATCTATGATGCGTCTTCAGATGTTTAATTAGATTGCTGGTGTTAAACGATGTAGCCTACTTTCTTTCCCTCCTCTCGACACCTTAGCTGAACATAACTTACAGTCTGCCTTGCTGTTGTCATCATCCCTTATCTTGAAATGAGCCCAAACCGCCGACATTATACTTTCCTATGCCTCAGTTCACCTCGACAAAGCACTCGCGGCGGCCAGTTTCGTTTTGCAAAATGTAGCTACGTGGTATCGGTGAATTTTTATGAGTACGAGTACGAGTATATGAGGACAGTATCGGCCCGATCCCCGATGCCAGTATCGGTATCGGGCCATCCCTAGTAATAACTTGTTTTCATGACAGAACATACATTAAATAATGAAGACATCACTAACAGGTTAAGTAAAAATATAATGAATTTGCAATACAGTGCATATAGTATTTAGCAAAATCCTCTTCTCTAGTTTTTTTTCTAGCTAAGTAATGAGTTTATGGACATTGAATCGCTTGTTTGAGGTAAATGTAAGGTTAAGTGACATTGTATAACCTACAAGCTGTTTTATTGACATCTTTCCTCTGTTGAAACACTTATTAAGCGATTACATGACCGACCGGGATAAAGGGGACATTTCAGTCAACTGTCCCAAGCATCATTCACGCTGACATCGTATAGCCTGGGCAAATCCTGATTGTTGCGTCCAGGTTAGGGTTGGGTTACCTTCTAGGAGCTTTATATTTTTAAAATAGTGACATTAGTTTGGCTGTACTGCTCAGTGATTTAGTCTTAAAAACCAACATGAAAAAAACAATTGATAAGACTGGATTTTGATCCTACCTGAAAAAAATTGTGATTTGATATTTTTGCCATATTGCCCCAACCCTAACTAGGGATTTACCATTCATGATTTTTCATTGCTGATTCCAATTTTATTATAAGCAAATTGGCCAATTCCGATACCAGTTGCCTTTTTTTTCTTTGTTTAAGCAAATTTATTCGCTCTATAACAGGCCAAACCGGCCTGAAACAAAACATATCAGTATCCATTTGAAATTAGAGGGAACCACTACATTTAATCATGATCCAAAAAAGCAGCTTTAAACATGAAGCATGAGCAGTTGTTTTTGATTTAAATTAGATTGCACAATTTTAAGATTTAAAGTAAAAACAGTGGTCTGATTTTAGATATGTGCAATTATGCTACATAAGACACACCTGCACAAAACAAAAACAACAGATGTACTGAATGAAAATGCAAATTTACTCTCCGACAGTAGGTGGCGCTTATGGCGCATTATAACGCCAAAACAATCTGTTACCTTAAATTATATGTTTATCTCTGTAAAGCTGCTTTGAAACAATCCATTGTTAAAAGCGCTATATAAATGAAGATGACTATGGAACAGCAGCGATTCCTCTTTTTTACAGCTATACACAAAGCACTGCGCTTATAAACAGGGATACCCCACCACAAATATTGATATTTTTCTTTCAATATTATTTCAAGCATCTTGAACAGTGAGCGGGGCTGCACGATTCATCGAAATGAAACCACGCGTGATTTGGCAAAGGCTGCGACTATTTTATGTGCAGATTGTCAGTGCAGCACGGCTCTGTGATCGGTAGTAAATGCTGCTCCATCTGAACACCAGAGGGCGTCTCTCTCACACACACACACACGCGCCAAATATGCCCAGCAGAAATAGATCACACACGTCATTCCAGGAAATCCCTATGGGCATCATACTATCACTGTAGCTGAATAAACAGAAGATTGAAACGCTTTGATTTATTAAATGTTATCTTTTGTTGGACAAGAGGTTTATGAATGCTTTCATGTTTGGAAAGATGTTTGACGCGTGTTGCTTTTTCAAATGCACGTTATAAGCGACTCAAACTTGCAGTGATTTCAGATGGAGCAGCGTTTACTACTGATCACAGAGCCGTCCGTCACTGACAAGCTTTGACCGACAAGCCTTTGCGATTTAATAATCGCAATAAGCCAAATCGGTTTAAGCGCGTTTCACGTTAATCTTGCTGTGACTGGTACAGTATTTTCTCTGCTAGCACATCTCTGTTCTCCTCTTTGAATCCGTCTTCAGTTTGTCCCGTCTCTAGCCTGTGTTAATGTCCTGCTTACAGACTTTGGAATTTTCCTCACAAATTAAATTACATTGTGGGAAATGATTACAATGCAGTTTGTGCGCAAGTCCAGAAGAGAAAGATCGGGCAAAATAAACAGAAAATGGGGCAATTATCGATCGTGTGTTTGGAGCAAAAAACGACTCTACCAATAACCTGACGTCGTCATACTCAGACTCTAGTCAGCATGTGAGTCTGAATCTGCTCCATTGGGCTGTGATTATGGGCCGTGTTTCAACCGAACCAGGAAAGAAAATCGATTGGATCGGCAAATGCCTTGATCGCGGTTCTCTGTTCCTCTTTTAAAATGAATGCGCTGTACATCTTCTATGAAAGACGCGATGGATGAATCTACACATCTCAGTTCTCCACTCTTTGTTGTAAACGAGTTCTAGGGCTGAAACGATTCATCGAGTTACTCGATTAACTCGATTACAAAAATTCCTTTTTTTGCCTCGAAGCCTCGTTAAATTCCTATGACGCGCACTATACGCGCAGGGATTTATACTATAGCGCGTGATACATTTTGAATTTAGTTGGCGCGATGGCGGAGAGTAAAGATGTCCATAAACGGCAGAGAATGTCTAAAGTTTGGGATGATTACATACTTAAAAAGGAAGAGAACAAGGTGCAATGTGTCTACTGCAAAGTAGACCTGGCATACCACAACCGTACGATTTCAATGATTCAGCATCTGAACCGAAAACATCCACTCCATGCTGTTTCACCAAGCGTCGCTGAAACAAGGTAAAATAATAGTAATCACACCGAACGCAGATAGAGCGTCAAATACGCATCTATCGCGTCTAGTTAGACGCTCGAACACTCGCTCGAGTTAAAATTTTTCAACTTGCGCGGAAGACGTTCACGCAAACGCGTAGCCCAATTCGCGTCAGTCGCGACGCTCGGCGCGAATGATGCGTCTATTCGCGTCTTTGCATTGACTTTGTATGTAATCTACTCGCGCAAATAATTCAATTTGCGTTCGATGTGAACACCATAAGCCTATGATACATTGATGTTCGCTGATTTTAATCCCATACTGTATTTGTAGCCCAGCCTGCTTCTCCAAATCCACTCGTACTTTTGGGGAAGACATTTTAATCGGCTACCAAAGTAATTGAGCATAGAACATTGTTGGCACTTATACTAAATGGGTAAAAATTGCAATAAGTTGGCTTAGTTTTGGAGCCAAATGTTGGAGTTGGAATAAATACCAGGTTTTTGTGGGTTTTTTTTTTTATAAATAAAAGCCAAATGCTTGATCATTTTACAGCCACATCATTTTCGTTATGCATTGTTTTGGTTGTTTTAAAACACAAAAAATGTTTTATCCGATTACTCGATTAATCGATTGATTAAGTGCTAGATTAATCGATTACAAAAAAGAATCGATAGCTGCAGCTGCAGCCCTATCGAGTTCATCCCAAGTGCTCTTTGGTGACATGATAAAATAAAATTCTGTATCAAATTTATAGACAAGACAAGTAGTTTGTTTAGGCATGGTTTGTAGGGAAATTACAAACCTGCGCACACATATTCAAACAAATATAACTATAGAATCAATTTTTAATGCGCATGTGAACGCCATCAGGCCACAGGTTCGCGTTTAAAGTCTGTTTAGAGAGAACGCCGTCGTCTTAGTGGCCCCTAATGTAATAACAAATGATCATTTTGCTGGAAGTGAATCAATCAAAACCAACTTTAGCCGAAATAACATTATTCAAAACCGCTATAAAGCCAAAACAATCTCTGTTACCGTAAATTGTATTTTATCTCTGTAAAGCTGCTTTGAAACAATCTTCATTGTTAAAAGCGCTATATAAATGAAGATGACTTGACTTGACATGGATTACGTTACTGTTGATCATCTGTCCATCATCGTATAAAGCCCCACCCTGACCATTTGATTGGTCCGAACAGCTTTGGTTCGAGCATAGTTGCTCCACAACGGATCAAGTCCAGACCGAACTTCCCGACCTCAAACGTTGTGTGCGAGGCTAAGTTCGGCTGGCATCCAGGCTATCTCTACCCCTAACCATGAGTAAAACTACAAGACCAACCTGCGAGACCAGGATGTGGCATCACTCTTGTCAGTGAGTATCATCTCATAGTAGTTGGTGATGTTCTTCTCAATGAAATGAAAGGTGCGGATGGACATGGTCTCAGACACCACATCCGGTCTGAAGTTCTGACCCCGGTTGAAGGCCATGAAGAAGGTTAACGCCCACAGATAGTACGTCTCATCGTGCTGCTGGGCCCGTTCCCGGATCAAGCCCTCCTGCTCACAAAACAAGACGCATGATAGGAAAAACTCAGAGAGAGAGAGAGTTTGAGTTTCAGTGATGCGGATGTCGTCATTCACCTTCACAAGGTACATGAGCCGATTATAGCAGTTCTCCAAGAAGTCGATGCAGAACTCGCGCAGGAAGAGACGTACATTTAACGCCGAGCGTCGTTGGCTCTCTGAATCTTGAGCCATCTGTTTGCGCTTGGGTACACGTCTCACGGGCTTACCCACGTCATGAGAATAGTTCTTATACTTAAGACATCAAAAAACATTCGTGTTAATAAAAGAGAGATATTTACAAGAACTTAAACAAAAAGTCCACTGAAATACGAAATTCTAACTTGTGTAATCGTTTTAAAGTGACACTTACATTGTGAAGTCCTTGGTGAAAAATCACATCTTTCTCCCCAACTGACTTCAGTCCTTCAATGACATACGAGCCACGGAAACGAGAGTGTCTTAAGAGAAGAGAATAAATGATTGTTGTATTTGCTTAGTATATATATTTGCACTAGATCATATCTTCACATAAACCTACTTTCAAACTTGACTAAATTAATAATACACCCTCGTATCATCATACAGCTCAAGCACTGCTGCTAAAAACAGCTTAAAAAATACCAATGACACATGAATAATTCGTCAAGCATCCTGACCCATAGCTAATATGATCACATTCTCTCACCTGGTGCCTCTCAGTAGCGTACGGCTGCGTTTTTCAGCTAGTTCTTTCTGTCTCAATAACTCCAGCTCCTGCATGTCTTTTTGTTTCTCCTGGGCAGAACGCATCTGTCCTGCATTCACCAAAAGCTCAGGAGTCTGCAGGAGTCATGTCAAAAACATACATCAAATACGTGAGATGAAAAGATCCATGTTTCCTGAGCATTTTAGTGTAAAACTCCAAGGTGTTTATTGAACTTGCAATCAAAAAGAAATAGTTCACCCAAAAATGCTAATTCTCTCACGCCAACAGATGAAGAGTTTGGTTCCAAAACGCGATAAACGGCATAAAAAAAAAAAAAAAAAGTTACTACAAAAATCAGTATTGTATCTGGTTGGTATTGAAAAGTCAATGTTTAATTTTAAATAAAATGCGATATCCGCCGTGTTATTCTGTCATGTTTTCTCCCTTTCTTTCGAAACCGCGACAAACGCCAGTCTCCCTTCTCTGCAGAATGCGATATATCCGCTCTCAACCAATCACAACGCACCATTCCACGCAATGTAAACAGTAACGGCAGCGCCTTAAATACACCCGGCTTCCTAGTTTTTCTTATCTATTTTGTACTTTTCGATAAACAAATAAAAAAATGAATAATTTGGACGGCATTGATGAACCTGTGGTTGTTTCTGCGGTGGGTGAGAAACGTAAGGCATCGAAATCGAGTCATTTACGTGAGAAGATTAAGAAGATGAGGCACTCGGGAGGAGGAAAAATGTTTTCAATCTTCTTTACAGTTCTTAATAAAAATATTATACTAAAACTTACGTTGTTGTGTATTTTTAACAGTTTCAATATGAAAAAAAAACAACTTTATATTGATTCAATGGATTAATTGCATTTTGAATAAAAAAATTGATTTATTGCATTTTGGGGGGAAAAATAATCCGTTTTTATAATAAATCTTTGAAAATCAAAACCAGGATTTAAATTTTTTTTGTTTGTTATTATGACCTACAAATGCTATGTGAAAGTTTGAAACAGAAAATAGTGGTTTTCATCTTTCCACTGTCTTGGTACCGGGTATATGCAGGAATCTTGAAGTTAATTTTAATACCTTTTCAAGACCTTCTCAATATTTTTTAATACCTCACCGCCACTTCAAGCTGTAACCATTTACATCAGTGATACTTTTAACTTAACAGTTTTAGTTTGTGATAAAGACTATAGACCACTCTGATAAAAAAAAAAAATCAAATAGGCTGGGATAGTAAATCAAAGCAAAGTTTTTTTAATACAAATGACTAAATTCACACACTTTTACGATGTTTTTGGGACTCAAACTGTTGGACAGCTAATTCAGAAAAAATACTTTCAAAATGTAAGACTTTATAAAGCCGTGATAAGACTTTTTAATACTTTTTAAGGGTCTTAATTTTCCCAAAATTGATTTATCACCTTTTAATACTTTTCAAGACCCCGCGGATACCCTGTGGTAAAGAAAACACATTTTTACTCAAATTAATCTAAATGGATTTATTGCGTTTTGGAACCAAACTCTTCAGATGACGAACTGACTTCCACAAGCAAAATATTTCAGCTGTTCATCCAATAAATGCAAGTGAACGGTTACCAAACCTTGATCTACAAGGTTGAGTAATAACAGACAATCAATTCAAATCCTAAAAAAAAAAAAAAGAAAAGAAAAAAATAAAGGAAAAGTAGCTACGATCAGATCGCTTCAGAAATAATCCACATGGATTACTTCTGCCTTTATGTGCTTTTTAAAACTTCAAAGATCTGATAACCATTCCCTTGCATTGCATGAACCAACATAGCCAAGATTGTGTTCTGAAGAAGAAATCTATCAGGTTATAAACTTGAGGGCATTAGTTGATGATAGAATTTTAATTGTTGGGTGAACTATTCCTTTAAAGATCCTTTACACGCAAACCAATCAGCCTTATGTGAAACATCAAGTCACCTGATCTCTGAACATGAGAGAGATGATTTCCAGGATGTGGAAGCTCCACTGCTGTTCACTCTGAGCACAGGCCAGAAACTTCAGCAGATCATCCAGTCCGCTCATGTGAACGGCCCACAGCAGTTTATCGTGAACACTGGCATCATCATCCACATTCTGCACATAAACGCACGCAAATCATCCAACACATAAAAAACACAACATTGCCAAAGGCAAACGGTGTGAAGGACCCAAGCTGTTTCTCTGAGTTTATCTTCAGCAGCAGAACTGCCAAACTTGGGAAAATGTTGAGAGAAAGATGGGGTGGCTAATAACAGATGCCTATGTGCTTGGCCCCTAATAATAATAATTTTGTTTTACAAGACAACAGTAAAACTACAATGGCTAAAATTATTAGATTTTTTTTATAAAGTTATTAAATAAAGGTGCTATATGTAACTTTTCTTCTAAAATGAATCCTTTTTTATTGCCTGTGTGTGAAGGGGTTGTAATCACACATCACAATGATCCACTTGTCGGGTTTTGCTATTACCTCTGAAGGCCAGTATTCCTATTTCTATGTGAAGTCTCCGGGTCGGATTTACCGCGAAATCCATCGGATGTGACGTGCATGCGCGCTCCCGAGCCTCTCTCCTTTTATATAGTCTATGCGACGGCACTGCAGCTCACGACATGGAGTCTGATAACACCAAACATGACCTGCCTCCAGCACAACACACACTCCAACACAAACTCCACAGAAATATACAAAACAAAACAAAAATGTATCTGCTGAAGCTCGTCAGGCCAAACGTCAATCGGATCGACTTAGGACGAAAACACGGATCAACATCGGCAGAGCGTTTGAATTATGGAGACCTCCGCTATTTTTATTGTGATAAATTACGAGTTTTCAGATATGCTGAAATAAATAATGGTAAACTGTAATGAAATGGCAAGGTAAACTACAACATACATGAGACATGAAATGAATACAAAAGACTTTTTCCAGGATAACAAAAAGTAGGTGCTTTAGGATGTAACTTTTATTTTATGTACTAGATCTACTGTCTACTGTCACTCATCCCACTACACATTTCCAGACACGTTCAGTGCAGTAATGTTACTTCCTACGATCTGTTACACTGAAATTCTAGTTCTAGTCTAGTTCACTAACCGTTTTCGTTATAATATTATACATTCACCTATGTTGACATTGCTGGTTGTGAAAGATACACGAATAGTTAGTGAAATGCCTTATGCTAGATAACACCACATGTCGGCTAAATGCAGTCAATGTAACGTTATCATGGTACGAGCATGGAGCATTAGTTCAACGTCAAGCTGATAAAAGTAGCCTATTATTGTAACATTGCAGTGGGAGTTTACATGAGTTTCCAGCATGTTTTGTGATGCTTTCTCAGGTGTGTTGAAAGTCTTGGTGTGGCCGTGTACCATGAGTGCTCGCTCTTGTGTTCGGGCACGAGCGCTCTTGTAAAAATTGGTTGCAATCTGAAACATCACCGATAGAGGCCGCTAAAAAATACATATAGCACCTTTAAATAAGCAAATAATTTTTTTTTTTAACTTGCAGCATGTTTGTATTGTAGAGTAACCTTTTATGTATGTAAATATCAAGGTCAAGTTGTTTGAATTTTATTTTGATTACTAGGTCAATGAAAATCAAGGATGTGTGGTATATCATATACGAGATTTCTGTGAGCATGTTTAAGTCTACAAACTCTCACCTTTTCCTCATATGGGTCTGCAGGGACGTGCAACACATTTCTGACCAGCAGCAAAACTCTCTCAATCAGTAAGTTATCTTCTTCGGCTCTTTGCTCCCAGTCCTCAGAGAAAAACATGAGGAATTAAGAATAATATTTCCACCCAATCACACCGTCTCGCATGTGAACATAGATTCGAGCCTCACCAGCTGAAGAAGGTTGTAGAGCGTTTCACTCAGCACGGTAAAGATCTTCTCATCCGCAAATGCCTTTAAACAGAGAAGATTACTTTAATAATTTTTATCAATATTCAGGGTTGGACAATAAGGACTGCATGATGCAGAGGCGGCCTTTGCAAATCATACCTGAATGAATCAGCTGATTTGAATGAATCATTTGACTGAATTGAATCAATGACTCACTCTTTAAGTGCCATGGTGGTTTACTTTTATATTAAAAAAGTATAATTTTTTTATTATGGTTAAAGATAGATAGAATGTGTAGATAGAATGCATTTATAAATAGACTTGAGAAGTGAAATATGAGATAACATTGTTGAAAATAATGGATATAACTAATGTGGCTATTGAGAGTCACGGTCATAGTGCCACTGCACCACATTCATTCGATTTTTATAGGATTCTTATATTTACCCGTGTGAATGCATGTGCCCACACAGTGCATTGTTTTCATAAAGCCACCGGTGTCATTTGTTTCTTTGTTCTTGTATTAATGACAGTTCATTTGTCTTCAGAGATTGCTTGAGAACTTTTTACTTAGGCTGAAACTTAATTTTAGCAATGATAATGAATTGGTATTGAGAATTGTGAAGATTACATGCGTTTAGGTTTCTCTTACGTATCTTTCGCATGTTGTGATTACTGCTGCTTTAATCAAACTGGTAACGAGTGCAGCAATAAGACCGTAATGAGGCAGCTTCTAATTATGAGGTCTAAAGAAAACGTTTGTTGCGCATTGGAAGCAGCAGTTAACATATGTCAAAAATGAAGAAAACAAATCTTTCATTTTTTATTTTATGCAGTGGGGCCAATGAAAATGCAAGTAAAAATCAGAACCACAAATATCCAGAAGGCGTCAGCAGTGTTTCCCACAGGAGTTTGTGAAACTGTGGTGGGTGGACCTCGGTCTCTCCAGGCGGTAAAATAATGTGTACATTTTAAAGTTAAATTAATAAATCTGGTGCACTTTTAAAGATAAAATGAAGAGCTTCAACCCATATTCAGCATGCAAATTGATGAAAGAAAAAGTCATTGACTTGTACCTGAACTTTAATAACTTAGTTCACCCAGAAAACATCCACAACAGAACCGGAAGACAATACAATGCTGAATAAAGTCGTAGTTTTTGTTATTTTTGGACCAAAATGTATTTTCGATGCTTCAACACACTCTAGCTAACCCACTGATGTCACATGGACTACTTTGATGATGTCTTTATTTCCTTTCTGGACAAGGACAGTATACCGTACACACATTTACAATGGAGGGACAGAAAGCTCTCGGACTAAATCTAAAATATCTTAAACTGTGTCCTGAAGATGAACGGAGGTCTGACGGGCTTGGGACGACATGAGGGCGAGTCATTAATGACATCATTTTAATTTTTGGGTGAACTATCCCTTTAATGATAACTTTAATACCTTAAAAACTTTAATCCATTAACTATTACTCTTTTTAGATGTGATATTGTCTCAGTCTACATTAACTACATAATACTGCTACGAATAATGATGTTATAATATTCTTCCTATGACAGTAACAGCCATATATTGTAAAAAATAATTCACTGAAAAATAAATAAAACTTTCATAATTAGTTTTGTCCTAATTTCTATACAAGCAAGAGATAAACCCGTTTTATTTTGATGGAAACTGGAGTCGTGTTTTTTTTTTTTTTTTTTAAATGCGTCTCATTACAAATGTAGTGAAATGCTCAACTATGTCAATCGTCAACTATGCAAATGTAAAAATAATGCGTAACTGCGTTCGAACCCGCAGAGCTGATGATCACGTGCTAATCGCGCAAACAGACGGTCTTTTGATAATGAAAACAATTTTAGTTTGTTTGACAGCAATGGCGCAAAACACGACATTAAAGACATTTGATGTTATTATGAGAAGTTTAAATATATTTTCGGCCCGCCACAGACTAGTTAATGAATAGGAAGCACTGAAATCTATTTGTGGCCGTCAATGCTGATATTGTGGCGGGCCGCCACAAATAAATCAATATATGGGAAACACTGGTCAAGCCTTCAGGCTTTGTTGTGTGTTATACCTCTTTATAGGCCTGAAGGTATGATGTCACTTGCAGGAAGTGATGTCGGAAGGCCGGATCATCGGGAACTTTTCCAAAGCAGAGCAGCGCTGGCTGGGTCAGGTTCACCATTAGCCTGAGAATGATTTGAATCAGTCAGGTCTCTTATTTTTGTCATTGGATACTTTATTATTTGAATCATTTGTCATTGCAGACATTAAAAAAAGAATGAGCTCAAACACCTAATACAGGCATCAAACAGCGGTTTGTCCTGCGTGTGCTGGGTGATGATGGGTAAGAGGTCGTTCTGAAGGATCTGTCCAGCTCCCAGCTGCTGTCTGATGTCCCTCGTGTCGTCCTCGTGTCTCAGGTAACGAATCAGATCCTTTACGCTCTCTAAAATCAACAAATAAACCGTCTCAAGATCATTTTTCGTCATTAAATTCAAAATACATGTAACAGAGAAGACAAAATGCATCAAACGTTCTCCTGATATTCCTTCTGTAAAGTAGTTTGGTTTAAAGGTTTGAGCGTTACCAAGGCAGTCTGCTTCTTTGTGGTAAACGTCCTCCTCCAGAAAGCCCAGCGCACTGCACGTGGCCAATAACTCACAGTTCATCATGAACAAGTCCATACAGCAGTTCTATCCGAGAGAGTAACTGGGTCCAAATCTGCAAAGAAGAGACTGATTTAAAAATTCAGTGTCCATTTGTTTATGTAGATTTCAATTACAATACATATCTTTAAAGGCTGTTTTCTCAAACAGAGTCAGAAATCTCCACTTCAGCAGAACTTGCACCAAACTTTTATTCCTATGCATATTCTCAAGGTTTGTACTGAGGGATTTTTTTATATTATAAATTTTATACAACAAATATGGTGAAAATGGTGATTTTTTCCCCCCTGTCAGTTGACAGTATTTTCAGATTTATGGAGCGAAAAAAAAAAGGAGAAATCCAAATTTGGACTAATTTAACTTAATTTTGAACCTGGCTCAATCCAGTGTCCGGATTTCTGTTCTGGGTATGTATGCAAATTAGTGCAAATTTAGTTAGATAATGCATAATTTGCATATTTAAATAAAACATTTCAGAAAACTTGATACTTAACCTGTTAACTGTCACCCCCCTTTTTTTGAATAGACATGAAAATGCACATTTCGAACATAAATGGTTGTAATTCAAGAATGCTTTGGAATATAGATGTAAGATTGGTCTTGTTTTAAAGAAGACATTTGGCAGATTTATGTAGAAGTGAAATAAATTAAGAAAGTGAAACAGAAAAAAAGTTATAGAAGTTTGAGTTTATGGAAATGTACAATGTAAAAAAAATAATTATTCATATTTTATATAAAATCTATATTTTCAAAACCTGGGCTACTCTAAAACTGCAGAAAAATCAAAGCCAAAAATCTGAACAAGTTGTGTTTCAAATTGTAGGTTGATATCTCAAAAAATGAGCTTTCAGTAAGATTTTGTTTGGGCGCAGTACCAAACTTTTTCACTAGGTCACAACCAGACTCCATTACTGCCCATATAAGGGCGCCTCCATTTCCATATGTGTTTTGAGTGATATGAACCATTATTTCCACAATTTTCATACAATTTATGAAGTAGAGATCCTATGCAGAAGTAGTATGGGAAGTTTGGCAGATTTTGATATGAATTCAACCTCTAAGAAACACATACAAAGAACACGCATGTGCGTCATAGCTCGCTGCCACATCACAAATGGTGAATTTATTATTTTTTTCTTTATATTAAAACATTTTCAGACTTTTTTTTTCTAAAATAATTGAATGTATGCTATCTTTTGAACTCTTGGTATGAAAACAAACTAGGTTTCTACAATTTTTTTCATGATTTTTCATGTTCATTGCTATTTCAAAATAAAGGTCTGAACACGCCTAGGAGTATGAAAATATTCTTGTTGCAAATTGATATATTACGGCTCCTCTGTAATTTATTTTGAAAATCAATCACCAAATATGGAAACTAGAGATTGTAAGCTTTCAAATGATATATAGTTTATCAATATTACTCAAGGTTTTCACTAAGATATTGTTGTTTTAAAAATATAATGGTAAACGTCCCACCTGTGGGACGGTGATTAACCTACAGTAAACATTTTTTTTCCATTTTTTTAATTAAAAGAAAACAAAATGGAAGAAAGAGTTCAAACTTAACACAATCTTGCAGCTCAAACAGTGTAGAACAATTTTAATATGTTTTGCTCCTTTTGTATTTTGCATTTACTTGTACTTTTACTTTCAATACTTAAGTAGGCCTATGTTTAACTAAAAAAAACTTTTCATACTCAAGTACAATAATGATCAAATACTTTAAAACTCAAGTAATATTCTAAACAGTGTCTTTAACTTCTACCAAAGTAATTTTTTTGGTAGGATATCTATACGTTTACTCAAGTGTGGATTTCAGGTTCTTTATCCACCACTGATGATACATATCAATTCCACTTCAAGCCCACAAAAAATATGCACATTACTAGATTTAATGATAAACATCATCTGGCTCATTTGTGAGTTAGGTAACGTTAAAACTAGTGCGAACGTTTTTAATAGTGATGACAATATAGCCCTCACGAGCATACATAGCCAAACATGCACACACACACACACACACACACACACACACACACACACACACACACACACACACACATTAAGTGAATTTATAGGCATTTAACACTGAGGTAATAATATTTAAATCTCCATCTCTTAATCCCTTTAACTAACTTAACTCTCATAGAAAACTTCTGACACGTTAGAATTTCAATATAACATTGTTTAGCATGTTTATTAATTCGATTGATTTACCTCATACACACTGTTTAACGTTACATCGTAATGTCTACGTAATTATAACATACACAATTGTGTCCTCGTAAATGAATACAAAGAGCGCGCGCAAGCACTATAAACACATACAAGTACAGTAACGTTACATTAGGATAATATAAGATCTGGCAGCTGTACTAAAGACTAAGTTCAACTCGTATAATCCTAGGGCAAATACCTTAAAACAACTCGTTACATTTGTATATGTTCCTGTATGTGTTCAATATATGCACAATATGTCATCGTCGTATTATAACGTTATATTACTGTATTGTGTTAAAATATAACTAATACAAGACAATCATACATACCAGACCATGCCTGACCTCTCTGCGATCGCCAATGTATAGATCTGTCACACTAAAGATTGTTAATCTATCCGCTCGCAAAAAATAATTTAAAGATTCCCATAATTAATCTGAAATTAACTGAATTAACCCCAAATTCTCTTTTGATTCAACGAAACAAAACAGCTAGCGCGCGCATGGTCAAAGGCGCGCTCATCCGACCGGAAATGACGCCAGACGCAGCGTTGCGTACTTAAAGGAGCCACGGCTAATATAGCTGTCCGTCAAGGATAGAGGCAAGCTTTAAAAAATAATAATAAATTATAATAATAAAGTGAATGCGCAAGTGCTAGGTCAGAGCTATCCAGCTCAAGATTCTCCACAGTGCTCACATTTATCTTTAGAGCAGCAGATTTCTCCCCTCTATGCCCCCATGTTGAGATAGAAGTAGCCTAGTGTCTTTAGCCTAGTAGCCTAATTAAACTTCGCCAAAGTTATCTGTATTTTGTTGCAGATCATTAGAATGTCAATAAACTCATTATTAGGTAATATGCCATTATGCTTGTGGGCTTTGATAGTGCCTGACAGGCCACACGATCATCTGAGGTCAGTGGGACAGTTACAGTGAATGTAATGTCAGAGGATTTGTTTGAAGGAGGAGTATAGGCCTAAGTCAAGAATCACACCAGAATCTGAATTAGTGACCGCTGTTGAGGACACCTTCCACCTCCTCACCTCACCTCACCTCAGCGAAGAGGATCATCATCTTCTTTCTTATACTTTGTTTTAGCCTAGTTATATTATTTGGCATTATTATTATTATTTTTGCAGTTATTTTTGTTGTTGTTGTTGTTGTTTGTGTGCTTATGCTAATGCATGTTTGTGTTCACTCACTTGTTCTTGTTCATGTTGTTCTTGTTCAAATTGAAATGGTTTAATTTTCAATTTAATGACTTAGGTCGACATATATTTTATACATTGTTTACTGCACAATCATAATGCTGTGTCTGTATTTAACATCACACAGACGGATTTAAAAAACAAACCTTAATTTTTAATTCTTATGTTTATTGCACCAAGGCTGCAATAATTTGATATATATATTTTTAAATATTACAGTTTAAAATAACTTTTCTATGTTAATATATATTTTTAAATGTAGCCTAATTTATATCCATTAGTATGCACAAAAATTAGCTTATTATAATGATTTCTGAAGGATCATGTGACATTGAAGACTCAAAGAAAATATATTCAAATAGAAAACCGCCTATATTATTACAGTTTTTCTCAATCTGTCACGATGTGGCTGTTTAAATGAGCTCACGGCGAAGGAGTACTGGGATGTCCATAAATAGTACATACTGATTTTTCCCCCTAATGATAAAATTAGTAATTATAGCCAGTTAAACATAATTTTGAAAGCCATCAAACTGCAAATTATTAGATTAGGCCTATACTCTATTTGTTCATCATGTACAGGTTATCAACATTAACAGAATATGATCAACAACTTTTAAATACACTTAAATATACTTAAACTTTTAAATAAAGCAATTTATCACACAAACACATTATGATACATGTCACATTTAACTCTTTATTTATTTATGTAAAATGAATCTGCACTAAATAAAGAGAGGAAACATGTTCTTTGGTTTGATTGAATTGAACATATAGTTATTTATATTCTTTAGAATGAATATTGGTCTGCTCTTCTATTAACATCAGCTCTAGTTTTCCTTTTCATATAAAAATAGTTAAAAAGTTCTTTAGATAGATTTTCTAATGGAAACAACTTCTTGCTCCACACAGTGTGTTAACATGAGATGTCCACCAAGAGGCGCCGGGCATCTGTAAACCGATGTGCTTCAGCGCTGAGACAGTGCTTGCTATTTGTATTTGTGCAAATATGAATTAAATCTGCTCTCTACGATTTTTTTTACTAAACATATGTGTTGTCTATCTTGTCTCAGTGTTTAGTTATTATTTAACCCTTTGATAATCATAATTAGGTTTCAGGGTTGCTAAATTTCCAAACTTCATATGGAATAAGAGACCAACAATATAACTATAATATCTGATGATTTTGAAGTGCACCTCCTTTCACTGACCAAACATAGGCCTACATTTTATTTTTTACGTTGCAGGGAAATTGCTCAGTTCATGTTTCGCTTACCTTTCTTTTCCATCATCTTCATAAATAGGTCCTAATCACAAGTTCAACCCTGGAATAACTAACCTACTATATGACTAAAATGCAATTAGTCTATTAGTCTAAGATGAAAAAACGTCAACCACGTCTGTAAAGTAACATACATTTAAATGCAGTAGCCTAAAAACATATTAGCCTAAAATGGCCACTGCCATCCCTGAAGTTATTGAAACTAATGGGAGCACACTGGTCTGGATTCATCTGTCAGCTACGACACAGTTTACCCTGAGTCAATATGAGAACGTGTCGGTAATTGTGTGGGTGCAGGTGCCTGTTCTCAGATCAGATCTGAGGCTCTGACAGATGCTCGAGTCCCACAG